TGAACGCTTTTTTGGGTGCGAAATGAAGTGGCAGGGTTACGGTAGCTTCGAAAAAAGATGAAAGAATTTTTTGTTTTTGGTTTTGAATTTATGTTTTGGCTTAGTAGGTTTAAAGTTAGGCTTAAGCCGAGACTTGGGCTTAGGTTTAAGCTCAGGCTTAGGCTTGGGCTTGGGCTTAGGTTTAGGCTTAAGCTTAGGCTTAGGCTTAGTAGGCATACCCTTATTGGCTTAGTAGACAGATTTAGTACGGTTAGACTTTCTTGACTTAGGCTTAGTGGGCATAGGCTTAGTGGCTTAGTAGGCTTAAAATTAGTAAGAATAGGCTTAGTTGTCTTAGACTTAGTAAACATAAGCTTATTGACTTGGTAGGCTTAAGCTTTAACTTAGAAGTAGGTTTTTACTTACGTTTAAGATTATCTTTAGACTAGGCTTACCTTTAGGCTTAATCTTAAGTTTCGGCTCAGGCTTAGGCTTAAGAACTTTAGGCTTGAGAAGATCATTATTACCCAATTTAGGGTTAATCAGACTTGCTATGGCTAGGCTTACTTTAAAGATATTGGTTTTTTGGCTGTTTAGACAGTATCCTATTAAAAACTCGTCAAAACTTTTTTTAAAAAATGCGACAAAGTTTCCGAGAAACGACTCAAAGTTTATGTGTTTTTAAGCGCGGTGTCGCTTTTGGCCTTGCTTTTGAAAAAAACGATCAATAAAAATTTGAAATGAAGTGTTTATGACTACCTGAAAAGTTTTGTTTTTTCTAACTTAGCATTGGCACGGGTAACTTAAAATTAAATTTTAGGCTTACAAGGGAAGTACCCAACATGAAACTCTCAGAATTAGCTCAAAATTTTACACGAATTTGTTGTAGTACCATTAGCACATATAAAAAATCTTAGATGGCGGTTTTAAGTTTTAAAATTAATATATTTAAACTTTCCGCCAATTTGGCAAATTTGGCATTGTGTTGCAAGCACTTTTTTTGATGTTCCAGGTAAGATAAGCTTAAAAATTTGAAATCGCAGGTTAAGGTGAAGCTTTTCTATCAGTATATTAAAGAAAAATAGTTAATGTCAAAAATTAACAAAGTTAAAAGCTTGCAACATTATGCCAATTTGGCGGGAAATTCAAAACGCGGTTTTTTGATCACGATTTTCTCAAGACTGGCAGCAACCCGCAACTTAGAATTTTACATAAGGTCATACATTAACATGATCTTTCAATAGAAAAAATTTAAACCAAATCTGAGCGTTGCAGGTCGGGTACCTTCTTTGTTAGAGTTAAAAATAAAAAAAAGCTAGTCAGCTGGTAGTTTTGTTTTTGATTTCTAAGCCTTAAGTTCACTTTTTAGGCTTAATTCGTTTTTTTTTGATTTTAGTCGTCTTAAGGCTCAAAGTTTACTTTTAAGCTTATGCTTGCTTTTTAGGCTTAATTTACTTTCTTAAACTTTTTGGATTTAAGCCTTAAAGTTCATTTTTAAGCTTATAGTTGCTTTTTTGGGCGTATACCTAATAGTTTAAGCCCTAAACTCAGCAGTATAGCCTAACTTCGTCTTAAATACCTTGTGACTGAAAGTCTCATCAAAAAACCGATCCATCTCCTGAGTTTGCAAACAATTTTGGCACGAATTTCAAAGTCAAAAAGTGTGTTTTGAGGCTGATTAAAGACGAGGCAGGTCATTAATTTTGGGCACTGTTAAAGCCCAAAAAACGGCCGCCGATCAAACGATTAGCGGGTGATAAACGGCCGCTAAAAGGGCATACCAACAAATTTTTTTCTTAAGAGGTTAGGTGTGGGCAGGATAAATTGAAGAGAACAGTAGGGATGAGTTGGTTGAGGGGGGTATTTTTTATAGAGCTAGTCTTAAAGTAGTATTAGCCTTAGCTGTAGGCTTATCACGCCCTAACCTACCCTACCTACCCTACCCTACCCTACCCTACCCTACCCTACCCTACCCTACCTTACCCTACCCTATCCTACCCTACCCTACCCTTACTCTATCTAACACAGCCTCTACCGTATTGCTTACCGTGCTAACCTTACCTAGCTTCTACATTATTGCATATTCTATCTTACTCTACCCTATTCTATCATGTCCTACCCAACCACCATGCTTACCACGTTTTGCCCTAGCTTTACCATGATCTGTAGTGACATTATTAAGCCGTGCCTTATGTAGTTACCAAACCTTGCCGTGGCATTACGATCTTAATTACCCTACCCTATCTCTTAAATTTTTTGTTTCTTCACCTTCCCCCCCCCCCTTTTCATGGATTTCGTTTGTGATATCTGGCTGTATTCTTCTAACCTACCCTGCCCTCTTCTGCTGTCCCCCTCTTACTTACTTTCTTCTCTTCCCCCCTTATCTTACTTTCTTCTCTCCCCCCTTATCTCGCTTTCTCACTTATGCCAATCCTTTTCTCTTCAACCCAATCCCATTACGGTAGTAAAACCACTTGGCCAGTAATACAAACAACTCCAAACATGTGTCACATTGTTCATGTCTCAACGTGCACATCAAACGAACGACGAAAGCCCTTTAAACATCGAAAAAAAATCGACCGAAAATCGCAATCCATCTTTTAATGGGCCAAGGGAGGGGGGGGGGCGCACAAAATCATCCCCGCCGGAGGCGCTTGCGGCCGCCGGAACCGCCGCTAATTAATCATGTTGAATGTGGCGGCCGAAAACCTGGCCAAAAAATGCGATAAAAGTTTTGTCGGCCAATGTTAACGGCCTCGGCTTGGTGATAACGGCCTGAGGGAACAAGACTTTTTTCGCATTGACTTTTCGAAATTGTGATTTTTGTGGGCGGTGAGCATGGTTTTTGGGGTTTTGAGAGTGTTTTTTGGTATTTTCAAGGAAATTCTCGCAATTTTTTGTTTTGTAAAGAAAGTTCTTGCCATTTTTTGTTTTGTAAAGAAAGTTCTTGCCATTTTATGCTTTGTAAAGAAAGTTCTTGTCATTTTTTGCTTTGTAAAGAAAGTTCTTGCCATTTTTTGTTTAGTAAAGAAAGTTCTTGCCATTTTATGCTTTGTAAAGAAAGTTCTTGTCATTTTTTGCTTTGTAAAGAAAGTTCTTGCCATTTTTTGTTTAGTAAAGAAAGTTCTTGCCATTTTATGCTTTGTAAAGAAAGTTCTTGTCATTTTTTGCTTTGTAAAGAAAGTTCTTGCCATTTTTTGTTTAGTAAAGAAAGTTCTTGCCATTTTATGCTTTGTAAAGAAAGTTCTTGTCATTTTTTGCTTTGTAAAGAAAGTTCTTGCCATTTTTGGTCTTGGAAAGGAAGTTTTTGTTATTTTTTGTTTTGTAAAGAAAATTATTGCCATTTTAAGCCATAAAACATAAGTTTGAAGTTGTGCAGCCTGCAAGCGACAAGTTATACTATAAATAACAATTTACAGGTTTTGAGGGCTGTTTTGTAAAGAAATTTCTTACCATTTTATGTCTTGCAAATAAAATTTTTGCCATTTTGTGATTTGTAAATAAAGTTTTTGCAATTTTTTTTCTTTGTAAGGAAAGTTCTTGCCATTTTCTTATTTTGTCAAGAAAGTTCTTGCTATTTTTGATTTGTAAAGAATTTTCTTGCCATTTTATGTTTTGTAAAGAAAGTTTTTGCCTATTTTTGATTTGCAAACAATGTTCTTGTCATTTTTGGTCTGTAAATAAAGTTTTTGCTTTTTTTTGGTCTGTGTAAGCACAATTCCATTGCTGCCGGTTTTGACACCCTTACCACTCCATAACTCAATACCTCCTTCTCTACCTACATACAATAAAACATATATGCTTTACTTTGGCACATCAAAGCTGCGGCCGGTTTGTTGATCTCCAAAAAACCTCTATTGGGGGGATGGGAGCGAGCGCGTTGATTGGCTGTGAACAGAAAAAACGGGCCCGCTTAGCTGAAATGTGGTTTTTTGGCGCTTTTTTGCGACAACCTGCCACACTTGTTTCGGCCACTTATTTATATTCGATTTGGGGCGAATGGGCTCCATCTGGGAAGGGGGGTTTTGTATTAGGGGTGGGGTATTTGTCGGTAAAAGGTGTTAGTTTATAGTAGATAGGGTAGGGTAGGGTAGGATATGGTAGGGTAGGCTACGGCAGTGTAGGGTATGTTACAGTAGGCTAACATACAGTTGAAAAAATTTTTGTGAATTTTAAAATATTTTAAAAGTTCGTAGTAAATGCTATATGCAACGTATTTTACCCCAAAAACAAGACAACTCCAACTGACCTCAATATTTTTGAAAGCCTGTCGTAACTCAACATTAATATCATTCATCAAAGCGGTTTTTGGCCGAAGAAAAGAAGCCACGAGACCTCAAACAAAACCCCTCGGGCTGATTGGGCTTGATCTCGGTTTTTGGCTTACAAATTTTCTAACTTTTTGGCTTTAAAGTTTGTTTACTATATTTTCAAAATTTTTTTTTAAATTTCAAAATAATTAAAAATTTGTTTAAGGAAGGGAATTAAAGGGGGAGGGGGGGGAGGTGAGGAGGGGGGGGGGAAGGTATATTATATTATAGACTATGTGTATCGTTTGCTTAGTTATGGTATTTTAACTCTTAAAAAATTTTTTCTTATTAGAAGTTAAAATTTTTTATTTTTTGGGTCCCACCACGAAAACCCTGAAAATTAATCTTTTCTGTTTTGAACGTAATTTTCATTTTTCTGAGCCTTATTAAAAAAGTCTTAACAACACGAAAACCCTGATGATCAGTATTTTTTCCGAATGTTAATTTTTTCTTTATGTAGGTCTCACAACGAAAACAAAAAAAAATATAATTTTGAATTTGTTTTATTTTTGACGTGTTTCTGGGTCTCACCACGAAAACCCTGAAAATCAGTATTTTTTCTAAATTTTACTTCTGTCACATTATGGTTTCACCACGAAAACACTGACAATAAACATTATAATTTGTTTGCGAGTTATTTATTTACCAAAATTTATTAAAGTTTAAAAAATATTACCTAAAAATATTAATTTGTACTTATATTTCAGCCAAATGGACGAGTTCCAAGTAGCCCTCAACAATGTTGAGGAATGGCTCCGTCGAATGGTCGGCGTATGCAAATTTACTCGCACCGCCTCGCCAGAAGTGTTTTGTTCAGCACTACCAAATCATTGGCGTTCCAACAAGTCATTACCTCACCCTTTTACAGTACTAATACTGTACCCAGTACCGGATGGTACTAAGGTTACCGTAACTGCGGGGAATGAAGAGAATTGTTGTCCTGATATCAAGAATAATGTCGCTGAAGTGACACAACAAATGGCAAGGTTTACGGACCTGAGGTTTGTCGGCAAAAGTGGCAGAGGTGAGTACTGTAGTTTGTATTACAATTGTTTTTTATGGTAGGGTAGGGTAGGGTAGGGTAGGGTACGGTAGGGTACGGTAGGGCAAAAAACCAAGTTAAAATCAATATTACAGGTAAAAACTTCAACTTGACGATAACAATTCACGGCCATCCACTGAAGCACGTTGTGACTGTAAACAATATTATCAAAGTTACCGTAGATGGTCCAAGAGACTCGAGAAATCCTAACAGAAGCATGATAAGTAAGTTTTTTTTGTAAAATACGGTTTTTGTACGAGCGATTTCAAATATTTTTGAAAATCAATAATTTTTGTGACACTTCGTCACACATTTAAAATATCAGTTTTTATCACAAAAGAAATGGTTAGGTAAACATTTGATAATTTTTTAAAGCATTTTTAAAGATTTTAAAATGATCAATACTTTTTGTGACATTTAGTTATAACATCATTTTGTGACACTTCGCTACACTATCAAATAACATTTTTTCCTAATTTCAGACGACCGTAAACGCCCCGCCGGTCCTCTCCACCCCCTACAATTCGCCCCCTTCCTCAAACACCCTCGCCTATTCCCTGGCTTCTCACCAAATCTACCAACAATGGTACCACATTGCTCCAGTTTCAACCCCGCTATACTGGAATCCTTCGCTGCGGCTATGTCAATTTACGGAAATCAACAAAATTCGGTTTTTAATTCGAATTTTGGCCAATTCAAGCCTGAGGTGTTGAGTCAATGGTCTCAGTTGAGTAATATTAACAACCCTTTGAGCGCCTTGAATCAGCTAGTCCAGCCGAAAAAGGCGATGAAACATGAAGATAGAGAGACACCGACCAGCTCGACCAGTGAGAATGAGGCCAAACTACCGAAAAGTGACAGTACACCTAAGATGAAAATTGAACATAATGACAAAAATAAGGTAATTATTGATTTTTTTAAAATTTTTTTTAAAATTTTTTGGCTTGTAAAGAAAGTTTTGACGAGTAGTATCGAACTTATCACTTGGTCAATGTGACTGAGCTTATTTGTTTAGAGGTATGGCATGGTGAGTACTATAAGCATAACTTATCTAGTACTAGTACTATGGTATGTATATAGCCTTAGCGTTAGAGTATGTATATAGTACTTGTACTAGTAAGTAGTATTAGTACTAAGTATGTCTATAGCACTAGTACATATGTGAGCACTCGTACTACCGTTAGCTAGGGTAGGGCTTTTAAAGTCATTCCTTTACTAAGAAGCGGTTTTGCAGCCTGCAGGTGACAAGTTATACGATGAGTCTGATTTTAGGAGTTGTAAACAAAATTCTTGTCATTTTAAGTTTTGCAAAGAAAGTTCTTGCCATTATAAGCTTTGTAAAGAAAGTTCTTGCCATTTTATGTTTTGTAAAAAAAGTTCTTACCGTTTTAAGTTTTGTAAAGAAAGTTCTTGTCATTTTTTGTTTTGTAAACAAAGTTATTCCCTTTTTTCTGTTTTGTAAAAAAAAGTTCTTGCTATTTTTTATCACATTTTAAATTTTAGAACCTCGAGAACACTCAAGATCTAATCCACGTTGATGTAGAAACGACAGACGACGAATTCAATTTATCGACCGCTTCGACCACTTCGTCGTCAATGAATTCCCATTCGCCTGAGGGGTCGAAAAAAGAAATTAAGAATGCGGCTTCACTTTGGCGACCCTTTCTTGATGCTGCCTTGAAATCTACCTAACATTCAGATATATTTTCTTTTCAATACTCGACTAGTACTATATAGCACTAGTACTATATAGTACTATCACTTTGTAATTTTTGTATTTTAAAGTAAATGTGTTATTTAGAACAAGTATTTTTAATATTTTTACATGAATGCACTTGTGCTACATAGCACCAGTACTATATAGTATTAGTACTATATAGTATTAGTACTAAATAGCCCTAAAACCTTACAAAATTGTATTTGATAGTAAGTGTGCTATGTAAAAAAGTATTTTTATACTTGTGCTCAATAGCACTAATACAGTACTATGTATTACCAATATTATATACAACAGTATTAGTACTTGATAACAAACCTATATACGGATATCATAACCAAAAACTCGTTAATTGTATATTTCATTTAAAAAATGTGTAATTAAATTGTAAATTGTGCCTTGAAACAGTCATTAAACTTGTTAATTCGAAAATAAATTCATTTATTTAAAATCGTTACTTTTTGTGACGTTGCGTGCTAATCAATAATTTTTGTGGCATTTCGTTTACCATTTTTTTAGCAAAAAATTATAGTCAAATATAAAATTTGATGATTTTTTATGCTTATTAATGTTTTTTAAAAAATCAATATGTTTTGTGGCATTACGTGCTAATTAATATTTTTTGTGGCATTTCGTCTAATCTCAAGCTTTTTTGAAAAAATTGAGTTTAAATATAAGGTTTAGCAGTTTTTCTATGCTTATTGGCCTTTTTTTTTAATTTGTACTTTTTGTGAGATTACGTGCTAATCAATAATTTTAGATGTGACATTTCGTCAAATAGCGAAATATTTTCAAATCTCATTAAAAACAAGTGACAGATTAAAGATTTTTCAAAAATATTAGAGTATTTTTTTGAAATTTCATATTTCAATACAAGTTTATTATTCAACAAATAACAACAATAATATTATGTTACACATCAAACACTAACAATCATTATTTTTAATAATCAAACAGCTGTTTTTTTGATAATTCTTGAAAAGATTTTTTTGTTTTAGTTGGTTAACAACATTATATGGGCTTCTATTTACCAAACATTTTATAAAATTATAGTAACTTTTTTGTTACAGTAACCTGACAGCTACAGTACTAATGTAATGTAGGGTAGGGTAGGGTAGGGTAGGGTAGGGTAGGGTAGGGTAGGGTAGGGTAGGGTAGGGTAGGGTAGGGTAGGGTAGGGTAGGGTAGGGCACTGTAACTACTACTTATTATCTAGTACAGTAGTCCCTTTTATAAAGCATACTGTAGCTTATGACCGCCTCATTTGAGTGTAATAAAGACAGCCACATATCAAGATAGCCGCTTCACTCATGATAACCATGTAAAACGTAAAATTATCGGCTGTTAATGACAACCATCCACCATAGTCAAACTGAACATGTTCAAAGATACCTAATTGTACGTCCATCGTACCCATGAGTACGTCAATGTGACTGAGCTTGTTTACCTGAAAATATAGTATGATAAGTACTATGCGGTTGGTGTATATAGTACTATTATAGAAGACCAAGTTTGTAAAGAAAGCTTTTGCCACTTTCTGTTTTGTAAAGAAAGTTCTTTCCATGTCGTGTTTTGTAAACAAAGTTCTTACCCGTATAATTTCTGCTCCAGCAAATTGGCTAGCGAATCGACCACAGACCCGAATACCGACCATTTCGTCCGCCGTTGTTTCGATTATTACCGGTCGTTTTCCTTCGTAATGCTTTCTGTAAAGAAACTTCTTGCTATTTTTTAGTTTGTAAAGAAAGTTCTTGCTACTTTTTGTTTTGTAAAGAAAGTTCTTGCCATTTTCCATACTGTAAACAAAGTTCTTGCCACTTTTTGTTTAGTAAAGAAAGTTCTTGCTATTTTTTGTTTTGTAAACAAAATTTCTGCACTTACGCGTTATTAATGTCTTCCAAGAATCGGCTGTCACATTTCATGCCATTTAGCATATTACACGCAGTAAGTTGGTTTTCATTGACATTTTCGCAAAACAAAGCTCCTTGTTGTACTCCAGCTACACTCAAATAAACATCGATATGCTCGGTTAATGGAGGGCCAAGGTCAACATCTTTGTCAACACATCGGCCACCTAAAATATTTGAGTTTAGGTAACGTTTTTATGATTTATTCTACTCTGTTCTACTTTATCCTACTCTACTTTACCCTACCCTACCCAATCTTACCCTACCCTACCCCAATTTAAGCCTATTTTAACATTTTAAACATTTTTCAAAAAATCAATAATTTTTGTGACACTTCATCACATGAACTAAATACCGTTTAACAGTGAAAAAATGTTTCTCATATGCAATATTCAACCTATGAAAAGCTTTTTAACCATTTTTAAAAAATCGATAATTTTTGTGACATTTCGTTAAAAATCAAATTGCTTAAAAATAAACAAAAAAAGCATACAATGACTGTAACTAAACTAAAAAATAGATTTTTAACAATTTTAAAAATCAATAGAAGTGTTGACATTTCGCAACATCGCTTTTCTTTGTTTTTTATTAGCAATATCCCAGTAATAAACTACACTATTACCATAAATTTACGTTACGCTTATAAAAAATTAATTTTTTACACCATATTCAGTCTACTTTACAGTCCAAATTATTATATATTAAGTGACATACCGAGAATTGCTTTACGCGTTAAGGCACCGCCGTACGAGAAGGCTAAGATATGCACAGTGTTGGAATCGGTAAATGCCATGACGGCCTTTATCAGCTGTCGGAACTGAAAAATGTTACAATTTTTAGGGATAAGGGGGGAGGGAAGGATTGTAAACAAAGTTTCATCATATAAAGAACAGATGTGTTATCAAGTCTGCACGGTGCAAAAGAAAAATGTTGCACGGTGCAGTCAAAAATAATTGCACCGTGCAGTGACTTTTTTTAAAACTAAAATTCTTATATTAAGGCAAACGTTTTTAGATGGCAATGTTAATACAAAATATAGCTATTGTAATGTAAATTTTGTTTTTTAAAAAATGGACCTGAAAAAATCGACTGTTTTTGAGTTATAACTTTTTGAAAAAATTGACTGCACAGTGCACAAATATATCATTGCACGGTGCAAATTATTAACCACTTTCTTTGATTTTGAAAAAGTTAAAAGAAAAAAAAATATATTTTAGGTATATATAAGTGCGAATTGACAATGTAAAGATTCTTACATTTTCCACAAATTCACATTTATACCCAATTTGCTGCAATCGACCGTTTTTTATTTCTCCGACGGTCGTACCATACATTTCGGAGTCTGTATAGTTGTTTTCGCGTAAATACTTCACGATTGGATTGAAGAAATCTGTCGTACATTGCCAGCACGGTGCGAATATTATCGGAGTTTTTCTAAAAGTACGACTCTTAAAGGCAGGGGAGCGCAGTATAGGGCATTACAAGACAGAGCAAGGCCAGGGCAAGGCCAGGGCAAAGTTAGGGCAAGACCAAGGCAAGGCCAAGGAAAAGTCAGGAAAAGGCAAGTAGGGACTTACTGTACTGAATGACCTGCAGTATGATGGCCTCCACCAAACGATGGGTCTCTTCTCAATTTGGCTATGTCTTCTCGAGTCAGGCGTTTCTCCCATGCTCCACCAAACTTTTCGCGAAGAAATTCGCGAAATAATGGCGAAAATAAGCTTTCGCAGAAGTGAAGGTTTTGAAACAGAACACAGGTTAGGATCACATTACTTATTTGCATGGATCTGAAAAGGGCAAACTTTCTTTAAAAATTAAAAAAAAAATTATTTATAAAACAGTATAGTACTGCTTTATGTAGTACCACTAATAAAACGCGTAAAAAACAAAAACGTACAGTACCCTACCCTACCCTACCCTACTTTACCCTGCCTTACCCTAGCTTTTACAGTACTTCCTATTGTAAGCCTTGGTCACCCCCTACCCAGTCACACTCTATCTTAAACTATCTTATTCTGCCCTACTGTACTTTACTACTCTCGTTGCCCTTTCTTGCCCTAACATACCCTATTTTACTCTAGCTCGTACAGTAATCCCTACCGTATGTCATCACCATTCCTGTCTCCAGTCTCTTAGTAGCCTCATTGTAAACGATCCTATCATATCTTGCCTTTCCTTCCCCCCCACCCTCACTTAAAGCCTAATAATCTAAAAAAAGACATTGTTTCGAGACAAATGACGTAGTAAAATGCTAATCACTCTAAATATATACATCTATATGACGGTCTAAACCCAAATATATACATTTATATTCCCCCCTCCCCCCCCGGTTTTATAAATTACCATTTACATTAACATAATCTATTACTCAAACAAACGCCCTCAAGCCACGAAACAAATAGCAACTGTCCGTCTCTTAAACTATAAAACTGACAAAGAGCTAGCACGCCGGCGGAACGTCTCCAATGTCTCTTCTGACATTTCAACTTCCTAATTTGACTTTCATTGAAATTCGATAAATGGTCATGCAAACAAAGTAAATGAAACTACTGGTAAATAATTAAAAAAGATATTTGGTCAGCTTTGAAAAAAAATTTAAAAAAACATGATAAATCATTTTATCTTTTGTTAAAATTGCATATTTCATTATGATTATACTCAACTTTTAGGCTTAAGTTTAACTTTAAACTTACGGTTGAGGCTTGTTTTAAGCTTAGACTCAGGGATAAGTTTAGACATGAACTCACACTTAGGCTAAAGGTTGGGTTTAGAAACAAACTAAAGGTTAAGATTAATATTAAGCCTAAAATTTTAGGTTTATTGTCTTAGACTTCTACGCTCAGGCTTCCAAGCTTAGGTTTTCAGTCTTATACTTTTAGGCTTAGGCTTATAAGTTTAGACTTCCAAGCTTAGGCTTCTAGGCTTAGGCTTAGGCTTCTAGGCTTAGGCTTCTAGGCTTAGGCTTCTAGGCTTAGGCTTCTAGGCTTAGGCTTCTAGGCTTAGGCTTCTAGGCTAAGGCTTCTAGGCTTAGGCTTCTAAAATTAGACTTCTAGACTTAGGCTAGGTTTAGACGTCTAATCTTAGACTATTAGGTTTAGGCTTCTAGTCTTAGACTTACGCGTCTTAGTATTAAACTAAAATTTAGGCTTAACCCTGGACTTAAACTCATACTTAAAAGAATAGTAAACATTTAAGCCTAAAACTAAAAATAAGTTTAAATGTAAGCCTCAGTTTAAGCTTAGCCTAAAATCTGAGTCTGTTTATTTATAAACATATGCTTAAGCTTATGTTTAGGCTTATTATTAGTCCAAAACGCCATAAAACAATCACTTTTAGCCATCTCTTCATGTTGCTTCATCTATGTAGTTATTAAAAAACGTAGCAAACAAGGATAATCACTACTATAATCCGCGTGAAAAAACAAATAGCTACCTAGTGTACTAGATGTATTATTCGCAAAGCAAAAAAAACCAAAAAAAAATTTTTTAAACCAATTATTGTAAAATTTTCTACCTTATAGTTTACCTTGGCATAGAACTTTAAAAACCTGACAAAAAATACAATGCTTGATGAAGTACACTATTTTAAGCTGTGTTTTGCCCGGACCGGTCCAAACTTCAAATTTTTAGATTCGGTCCGGTCCAGACCCAAAACTTTTTGGATCCGGTCCAATCCGCTTTACAAAAACCACTTTTAATTCAGGCTCATGCTTAAGCTCAAACTCATGCCCAAGCCCAAGCTCATGCCTAAGCCAAAGCTCAAGCTCACAGTCAAACTCAAGCTTAGGCTTAATTCAGGCTCAGGCTCAAACTTAGGTTCAAGCTCAGGCTCAAGCTCAGGTTCAAGCTCAAACTCAAGCTCAGGCTCAAGCTCAGGCTCAAGCTTAGGCTCAAGCTTAGGCTCAATGACTTTTCCGTAAACTAGACCGATTGGGCAAAACATTGATTCTAAGCCTAACAACCTTTTCTTATATATTTGTTTCACCTCAAACGGGTACATTAGACCTTTCAATCCTAAATGCCGCTCTTATGCAAAGCCTAACAAATTTTAAAAAGTATGATAAATATTGACAATTTAAAGCCTCATCAATACCAAAACATAAGTACATATCACAGCAAAACCCACAATAAAACAAAAATAATACAAAAACCTTTTATACCATGACATTTACGATGTAATAAAACATAGCTTTAGGCAAAACGATAATCTTAGGCTTTGTTTATTTCCAAAGGAATTGAATGCATAATACCAAAACTAAACATATCACGACAGTAAACAAGAGCATTAGCGCTTGAAATATGTTTGTTGTGCGTGGCCATATCTCTTCTTTAGGCTTCAGCCGGACGGACAAACAAGCCTTGTTTTTAATAATATTATGATAGATTTTGCGCCACTTAAAGGTTTTCATTACATTAGTTAGAAAAGTTTTATTTGATTTAAAAAAGGGTTGTTATAGAATTCGAAATAGGGTTTTAAGCTTAGGCTTATGTTTAAAGTTAAAATTAGGCCTAAGCAATGGCACAATTTTAGAGTTAAGTTTGAATTAGAGGCTTAAACTAAAAATTAAGCCTAGAGTTAATCTTAATATTAAATTTAAACGTAAACTTAGATTTAGGCGTTTTGTCTTAGGCTTAGGCTCAGACTCAGGGAATAGAGCTCAAGGTTAAGCTCAAATTCAAGCTTAAGCTCAAGCTTAGGCTTACCCTTATGTTTATTCTTAAGCTTATGCTTAGATTTAAATTAAAGCTCAAGCTCAGGTTCAAGCTCAGGCTTAGACTTAAGCTTAGGCTTATGTTTAGGCTTAGACTTAGGCTTAGGCTTAGGCTTAGGCTTAGAGTTAGGGTTAGGGTTAGGGTTAGGGTTAGGGTTAGGGTTAGGGTTAGGGTTAGGGTTAGGGTTAGGGTTAGGGTTAGGCTTAGGCTTAGGCTTAAGCTCAAGCTCAGGCTTACGATCAAACTCAGGCTCAAGCAAAAGCTTAAGTTTGAGCTAAGGCTTTAATTTTTTAAATATTTCACGCCCCCCCCCCTCCAGCCCTTTTAAATCCTTTTCATAAATTCCTCTTCGAACACTTTAAAAAATTCAAAATAAAATATCGTTTTTAAACACCCACGTATTTTACCAAATAGTCCATACTGTGTATAATATCGAACTGGGTGTTCTTTTCTCTCGCGAAAACCCAATTTTTGGACTGAAACAGCGCTAATCCCCCTACCAAAAACAAACTTAAATCCCCTCTTCGGAGGGAAAAAAACCTTTTTTGCCCTTCTCCAAATCTCGGCTACTCGAAAAAAGAGGTTCCGAGATGAGTTGAGTCCAGACGAGTGCCTCGGGTTCCGTTTCATAAAAAGCATATTAATATCGGGTAATAATCTCTTGTTATTTGTTTGTTGCAATCTCGCCGTTCCGCATATATTGCCGCTTTTTATTGGCAGAATAACAGAAAGTTAGAAAATATTATTAAGCTTTAGGTTTTAGTGAATTTATCTTAGTCCTGTATACTACACACATGAACAAGACCAAGCTTTAAAAAAGCTACAACAAAGCGTAACTGTTAAGCTATATGTTTAAACCTCGCTTTAAACGATAAGAAAAGCGCCCTAAGCCTGAGAAGTAAAATTCCAAGCGTAAACTTAAGCCTAAGCATTGGCCTCGGCGTTTTTCTGAGCCTAAGCCAGAGAACTTGAGCTTGAGCCAGGGGCTGAGCGTGACCTTGAGCTTAAGTCTAAGCTTGAAGCCAGCATGAGCCTAAGTTTAAGCCTGAACTTGAGTATGAACGTGAGCTTGAGCCCAAGCATAATTCTAAGTTGAGTCTAAACATGAGCCTGAACCTGGGCCTGAACCTAAGCCTGAGTTTCAGCTTGAACTTAAGCCTGAACCTGAGTCTGAGCCTGAGCCTAAGCCAGAGTTTGTGAATGAGCTTGAGCTTGAGCCTAAGCCTGAGCTTAAGTCTAAAGCCAGCTTAATCGCAAACTTAAGCCAAGCCCAATAGAAACCAAGGCTTAACTCTAAGCCTAACTGTAAGCCCAATATTAACTTTACACTTATCTACTAAACCATTTTTCTACTACTTTATATTTTACTGTGCTTGATATCAAACCAAACTCTTAAAAACCCTAAATTGCTATGAAAAACTTCAAATTGACCATGTACTACAAGGAAAGAAACTTTAGAAAAGTTATCACAACTTTTTGTGTCAACACGCTCAGCTGGAGGACGAACAAAGTAACGAAACTAATTAAAAGACCTTTATCCGGAAACGTTCTCGTTAAAACATGTAGTTTCTTGGAAAAACCTACGCGATAATTGTATTGCACCCGGAAAGTAACGTTTTCTTTATCGTAAGACATTGCCCTTACACGTTACGACAACAATATACCCTATCCTACCCTATCCTACCCTATCCTATCCTACCTTACTCTACCTTTCTCTGCTCTACCCGTCATAGTTTTACCCTAGCCTTAACATGGGCTGTCTTACCGTTACAATTTCTTGTTTCAGCTTTACCATACTTTGCCCTAGCCTTACTATGCCCTGTCCTATCTTTACCATGCCTGTCCTAGCGTTTTTATGCCTTAACCAAGCCTTAGCATGCCCTACCTTAGCCTTACTATGTGCTGTCTTAACTCTTATCGCGCCGTGCTCTAACGTTATCATGCTTATATAACAGGACATGGCATTGTTAATTTTAAACGTTGATAATAATACAAATTAAACTACTTCTACAATACAAAAATTCCGATACAAAAACTACTGTAACCAGCCAAATCCGGTTTCGTATCTTTGCTTATTTTGGCATATTTTGGCACCAAATGGCACTCACGACGATATTTATTATTAAACGCGCATTCATTAGCATAAATAAATAATCTGTGTATGCTACGAATATTTTGGCTAATTTTCGGGTAAGGGACGTGAGAACGCAAAAATAAGCAACAAAATGCCAGCGGTAAATAGGAAATGCAACAAATCTGTTTGATATGAAGGGGAGTGGAACAACAGTTGAAGACTTTGCTACAAGTTTGGTTTTTTAACGGGAATGAAAAGGGGGGAGGGGTAAAAAACTTTTTTTTAAAAAGAGGAAATAGGGTGAAAAACAGGAGGGGGGGGGGGGGGGGGGTAAAAACGTTTTTTTTTCAGGAAAGACAGAAGAGGAGGAGGGGGGGGGGAGGGGAGAGAAAGAAGGGGGAGAGAAAGAGGGGAGGGAAAGGGGAGGGAGAAGGGGAGGGGGGGGGGAGAAAAGGAGGAAAAAAGAATCAAGAAGTAAAGTGCACGGTAAAAAAGATAGAAGAGGGGTAGAAAAATTTAAACCCCCACTACTATTCACCCTTCTTTTTCCCCTTCCGAAAATTATTCGTAAAAAGTCTTCCCCTTTTTCATAAAATTGTCCTTAAAAACCCCACCCTCTTTCTGAACACATGTTCTTTAAATAAGCATCCCCCCTCCCAACATAGACCTCCCCCCCCTTCCATCGACCTCCCCCCTCCCACCATTGGCCTCCCTCTACCACAAGTGACCTCCTCCTCCCACCATTGATTTCCCACCCCTAGCATTGACCTCCTCCTCCTACCATTGCTACATCCTTGCATATAAACTACACAGTAAAAGTTGTCAAAAACAAAAAAGTAAGCTATTCTTATGTTTTTTAACAAAAAACTTGAGATTATTAAAGATTATATCGCCTAAACGTTTGTCGACACAAATAAAAGAAAAGTAAAGCTTAACGTAAAGTTTCAAAAGTTCCACATGTTCAAATTGAAAAAAAGAACTAAAACATTTGGGAATTAACATAAATGAAACATGGTGTGCATGCAAATAAAGTTGATTAAACAGAAAACGTCACGAAGAATTTAAAAAGTTTGTTTCAAATGACATTAAAATTTAGTTTATATCATTTCTAAGCCTGACTAAACCCAGAAAAAAAAATATTTTTAGATTTACTTCTTTCTAGAGGCTGAACCAAACCCAACTCTGTTCGGTTTGGCCCCCTCCTATGATAATATCAAACTCGTTTTACTTTTTTTCACAAATCAAATCTTTCGTTGCGAGACCTACGATTAACTTGAGAACTTGATTTGAATCCGGGCTCTCGGCCCACATGCGCCAACCTGGCCCGGCCGCTTCCAAATTCTCAAAAAAGTTTAGGGTTAAGACCGCACTATGTTATCTTTCAGGTCTAAATTTAAAAAATGTTTTTTTCAAAAAAATAAAAAAAAATTTTTTAAATAAACTTTTCTTTTTTCCTCCCCCTTTTTTGATACTCAAAGTCAATATTTCGTGCAATAGAGCTAGTTAAAATTATGTAAAGTACAAGAATTTTATAGAAAACCCCTAGTTTTAAGCTTAAACCCCCATTTAAAACTAGAATAAAAGGATTAGTGCAAGTTTTTTTTAAATAAATTTTTTGAACCCCACACATGCATTTCAACGTGTGTGGGACGTTACATTAGCCATTTCAAGTTTGCTCGCATTAGAAATGTCACAAAGTGTTACAAAAAAACGTTCCGTACGTACTGGCTAATAATAGAAAGAACGTTGAAAAAAATAAAAAAAAAGTTTCTAAAATAGACAAAACGTTCAAAATGAAAAAAAAAATGTGTTAAAAGGTCATTGCTCATTTTATTGTGTTTAAAATTTTAAAAACGCCAATTCCAATTTTTCAGGTTAGCTCACGAACTGGCCTTAGTTTGTGTCTCAAATTTTTGGCCCATGCGTACCAGACTTATCTTCACTATGCTCGCTTTTTCGGTATCATTCCCTGCTTTAACCTTACCATGCTTTGCGTTACCCTTATCGTGCCCTGTCCTAACCTTACCATGCCTTACCCTTATGTTATCATGCCTTGCGTTAGCCTTACTATGCCTTGCCCTAACCTTACCATGCCTTGACCTACTGTCACCATGTTGGCTCTGGATGTAATACACTGTCTACTTGTAATAAATCTTTATTGTCATAACAATAAAGGTCTTTTACTACTGTCCAAATACGTAGTATAGTCTAATAAAAACATTACTGCTATATCACATAGACTCTTCAACAAATACAGTAGAAAATTTAAGACTAAGCCTAGGCTCACTAGAAACCTTGTTCAAAGCTCTTCTGAAGTTGTTCATAAAATATCGACGATATGGTTTGATAAAGATGATAATCATACAACAATCAAACGGAGAATGCAACATATAAACAATGAATGCAACAACTTGAATCTTAGGCACATTTCGAATACCAAAAACACTTGGACTAAAGTACAGTATGCCAGGTATGATCAAAAAAACCCCAGTACCAATTGTTTGGGCCAACAGTGCCTTGAACAACATCATTTGTAGCTTGTAAGTAGAAGCTGAGGCTACGCTTTTGCCTAGTTGAATGTAGATGAAGATGAGTAGCGTACTACCAACGATTAGGAACGGTGTAACGTACAAGAAGCCGATGCCAATGACCAACTTGTCTTTCACGTCGCTTCCTGTGCCAAAACAAAATGCATTCGCATTGTTTTCGAATAAATATGCTATCACAGGGTCTACGTTAGCTAGGTACTGCTTTTCAGAGATTTGGTTGGGCAGGGAGATTAGGACTGGTGTCTGAAATAATGAAAATTTTTAAACAATGGTACCTTTATCAAAGAAGTAAACGTATAAGTAGACCAGTAAAGAAGCTAAAGCAATCCTAATTGTTTGGTTTGGCTAGCCAGTCTCAACGCCAGACTTAGCATAGGTTGAACCAAAAGTAACGGGACATCTTTTAGTTGAAAAATATGTGAAACGCGTCCCAATACTTTTGGTTCAACATGATAAACAGGCTTACAAGGTGCGCCAAAACTTCTGTTACATAACTAGGCCCATCTCTGAAAGCTTTTTGAAGCGTTTGCGCTTGTGCCAAGCCGCAAAGAAGAGACACTTCGAAACCGATTGACTATGTTATAACTAGTACTATATGTTAATATTGCTAGTTGTTGTTTTAGTTGTATTTGTTGTTAAAATAAATATTTAATTAAGAAACCGTGTAACAGAACTTTTGGCAAACCCTGTAAAAAGCTTACTAAGCCAAGCCAAAGAAAATTTGAAAGAGCTAGGCCGTAAAATATAGGCTCCAGAAGCGGGCCCATTTTACAATCAAGCCTTGGATTGGATTGCGCCCTTAAGCCTAAATAATCTGGCCCGGCCCTTTTAAACTTTGTTTTGGATTCGGGCCTAATGTCAAGCCTAGTGAGCTTACTATTAGATTTAAAAAAGGACTCACCAGGCCAAGCCTAACATTACGAAAATTTGAAAAACAACGATTCAGAACATGTAAGCCCCAGCACACCTACATAGGCTGAGCCGACGCCTTCACAAACCTAAAGTAAGCCCCACTTCAGGTCTGCACATGAGCCAACAGTTAGGTTTTTCAAATGATTCTGTGCCCCCTTAAAGAAAAGTTTTTGGAATTAGGAGGCACAGAATTATTTGAACAACGTATTATTACAAAAACCGGCTTTACCGATCCTACTATTAAGTTAGTAGGGTCGATAGTACTAAAGTAGTAGTACCAACTTACCGTGATCATCATCGTAATAACCAAAAAGATAGTAAACAGTATGACCACTTGAACACTTATCTTGTGCCGCGTAAAATTTAAAAATCGGAAGATTGAATCCGGTGGTGTAGCTTTAAAGAACCGGTAAGCAATTTGATAGGCGGTAGCAAAAATTCTTCCAAATAAAGCAACAACAACAATGAACAAATAAGTTGCTTGAACCGTGTTGTCAAAATGACGTAGAAAAGATATAGAGTAAAAACATGGCGCTGGAAATAGTGTTACCACTCCCATGCAACTTGCTAGGAAATCGAAGAGAAAAGACCTGAAGTACGTTAAATTATTCAAATGTAACTTAACCCTACCCTACTCTACCCTACCCTACCCTAATCTACCCTACCCTACCCTACCCTACCCTACCCTACCCTACCCTACCCTACCCTACCCTAATCTACCCTACCCTACCCTACCCTACCCTACCCTACCCTACCCTACCCTACCCTACCCTACCCTACCCTACCCTACCTTACCTTACCCTACCCTACTCTACCCTACCCTAATCTACCCTACCCTACCCTACCCTACCCTACCCTACCCTACCCTACCCTACCCTACCCTACCCTACCCTACCCTACCCTACCCTACCTTACCCTACCCTACCCTACCCTACCCTAATCTACCCTACCCTACCCTACCCTACCCTACCCTACCCTACCCTACCTTACCTTATCCTACCCTAGCTTTTACAGTACTTCTAGTGCCCTGCTCATCCCCTACCCAGTCCTGCTCTATCTTATACCCTACTTTCTATTTCTCTGCCTTACCTTATTATGCTCTAAACTACTCTCCTCTAACTGGCCTAGTCTTGCCATACGATGATCACTGTCTTGCCTTGCACTGCCGTAAATTGCTATATCTTTTTCGCATCTTTATCTTATCCTACTTTATCTTGCCCTATTCTTAGTCGGTCTTTATCGTGTCCCGCTCTGTCCTACTCTGCTTTGCCTTACTTCGTCTCCACACCCATTTTCTTATCCATCTTACTCTACTTTATTCTACTTCTTCTTTATACTCATTTACCTCTATTTTTAGCTCCTTTTTCTTACCCACGTTGGTGATTGTTCAGTGTGCAATTACAAAAACAAAAGGTATACAAAGTCTTACCAGAACAACTCATTAAGTATATAGAACTTGTATGTCTTCAAAGCTTGTGTAGAACCTAAAGAAAATAATTGTAGTTCAATCTTTAAAAATCTGCCGTAACAATGGAAACAATTAAAAAAAAGATTGACAAAGATTTTTGAAAACATGTACATGCTGTTCGTTCAAGTTTCATATTGTAGTACTTACCTTTCAATATACATATTGTAGTAACCAAAGAAAATAATGCAGAAGCAACAACCAATGTTGTTTCGTATACACTGTAGAACGTCAGCAAGTTCTCTGAAGGCAATTCCGTAACATTTAGTATGACACCCATGTTGAATGGCAGCAAATAACAACCGTTTTGTTGTTGTAGTAGTACTAAAGAGTTGTAGTAGCACCAAAAAATTCAAGTGTCGCCTTTTAGTCCTTAGTGATTGACCAAAGACGTACAAGACAATACTAAATTAGGTAATACCATAAGCAATACTAAAAAGTAAATATTAACATAGACAATACTAAGATTAAGTAATAACGCTTAAGAACCGGCCGTTACGTTTCACCGTCCTCAACATATAGGTTTGTAAACAATTGTGGCAACAATGCAGCATTTACCTGGTCTTTGGCTATTCAAGTTTTTTCCTCAGTTGGCAAGGTTCGAGTTTAGTCAGGTGAAAATAGGTTAATTTTTAAAAAGTTAACTTTAATGTTAATTTATTTACGAATTAGAGATTGTATCAACACAACGGTCAATATTCATGATTTTTGAATTATTGACTTAAAACAGGGTCCGCGAGAGAATCAAACATGGGCGGACCATGAAAAACAAATATTTTTTTAAAAATCTTATTTTGCGACCACAGGTAGCTCTAAAAACTACTAATTCAAAAATGCAAAAAAAATTTTTGATTCTGGGTTACTGTAGGTGTACTGTAGTTTTTAAAAATTTTATGCAACTTTTTAACTAATAGACAGAATTTCACCGGACTTTTTTTAAATGATAGAACACGTCAAACTATGTAATATGGCTGTCGACAAGTTTTTCCGTTTATGCCCGAAAGGCATCGAAAAATTTAAATATTTGCGAAATTTTGATAAAAATTTTAAAAAATCGAAATTTTTTCAAAAAAAAGTCGTTGTGTGACCGACTTCTGGCACTAGATAATGAAACTAGAGGTTCTTGCTCTTCAAATGGTTTTACTCTCCAAGTGTAACAATGGGGCCAAAGTACTGTAACAAGCTTCCAAATGCGACAAACTATAGTCACTAAAAAAATTAAGTTTTTATAACTTTACAGAACACCTCAGGATATGGCTAAAGTTTATCAAAATTACTTTTTGTTGTCAATAAAAACAGTACAAAGGCCATTTTAGCCTACTTTGTAAAGTTTTTTATCATACTGTACAGTGGGTGGGACACGACAATTATGAGTATAACTTACCGATTTTTAAATATTTTTCAAGCAGAATCGATCCTTTTAGTTTTTGAACATTTTTAAATGACCATAACTCATGAACAAAATACAATTGAAAGATGAAACCTTCAGAAGTCATACAACTTTTTATGCTCTATAAAACGAACGTTTTTGATTTTTTAGAAAACATGTACATACTTCGGAAATCGGGTACTGTAGGATTACTGTAACTTCTTTAAATCAAAAAGAAAAAATTTTTTTTTGCAAATTTGTTGCCAAAAAGAATATTGTAAAATTACAAAAAATTTAAGCCTTACTGGTTTAGTTTCAAGAAAGTTATACTCATAATTGTCGTGTCCCACCCACTGTACAGTATGATAAAAAACTTTACAAAGTAGGCTAAAATGGCCTTTGTACTGTTTTTATTGACAACAAAAAGTAATTTTGATAAACTTTAGCCATATCCTGAGGTCTTCTGTAAAGTTATAAAAACTTAATTTTTTTAGTGACTATAGTTTGTCGCATTTGGAAGCTTGTTACAGTACTTTGGCCCCATTGTTACACTTGGAGAGTAAAACCATTTGAAGAGCAAGAACCTCTAGTTTCATTATCTAGTGCCAGAAGTCGGTCACACAACGACTTTTTTTTGAAAAAATTTCGATTTTTTAAAATTTTTATCAAAATTTCGCAAATATTTAAATTTTTCGATGCCTTCCGGGCATAAACGGAAAAACTTGTCGACAGCCATATTACATAGTTTGACGTGTTCTATCATTTAAAAAAAGTCCGGTGAAATTCTGTCAATTAGTTAAAAAGTTGCATAAAATTTTTAAAAACTACAGTACACCTACAGTAACCCGAAATCAAAATTTTTTTTTGCATTTTTGAATTAGTAGTTCTTAGAGCTACCTGTGGTCGCAAAATAAGATTTTTAAAAAAGTTTTTTTTTTTCATGGTCCGCCCCTGTTTGACCCATGTTCGATTCTATCGCGGACCTTGTTTTAACAAAATTTAAGGCCGGGCCACGAACATAAACCATTGCCAAAAAGCTATAGGTAAGGAACAAGCTGGGAGAATCAGCACAATACAAGTTGCCCTAGTTATAGTTTTGGTAGATTTACATAAGGTGTAGGGCCAGTGTTTTCCCGGACCCGTCCGGTCCGGACCGAAAATTTTCTGGACCGGACCGGACCGAAAAAAAAGTTTCGGACGGGTCCGGAAAAAAAATTTTTTTTTATTTTAATAAAACTGTTTTAAAAATTGCAAATAAAACATATTTTTAAGAGTTTTTAAACGTAAAGAAAGCAGTTTTAACGCTCCTGGCTCTTTTTAAAAATAAAAAAAAAATTTTCCGGACCGGAGCGGACCTGACCTTTTTGGTCCGGGCCGGACCGGACCGGACTTGAGCAAAAAAAAAAAAAGCCGGACCGAACCGGACCGAAAAAATTCTCATCCGGACCGGTCCGGCAAAACACTGTGTAGGGCTGAGCCAAGCAATTTTAAAAAGTGTCGCGCCGAGCCGCATGTGGGACCGAGTGCCGCGAACCCATGCAAGCCGTGTTAAATTTTTCTGACTGGACTGGTTTTGAAAAACGATAACGTGTTGAGCTCAAAATTTAGGCTTTGAACCTAGAATAATCTTAAAAAACTAAAAAAACGTTCAAAAAATTATACAAGCTCACGTTTTAAAGCAGATTTTCATTACTACTTTGTATTCTTTTATAACTGCCAGCACATTTATTGTAGTTATCATTGTAGTTACCATAAAAAATTGTACTGCTAACTCGACATGTTGTTTTTCAATTACAGTGGAACTCCTGGATAACGAACCGCTCGGGGATTGTAAATTTGTTTGTTATAAAGGAGTTTCGCTATAGAAGAGTTTTAAATGCACTGTGTGGTGGTAGACGCGGATTCAAAAGTTGTCGGTATACAGGATTTTCGTTATAGAGAAGTTTGTTATATAGGAGTTCCACTGTATTACAACTTTTAACTAGACCTGTGGAAAAGCTATGCCATTTTTTGACTCAGCCTTTGCTCGAGTCGCGGTCCTCGGGCCCAATGTGTTGGGCTGATTCGGCAGCTTTCAAAGCATTTAGCTTTGATTTGGCCTAGCTCAGTTTGACTCGAGCTTAATGGTCTCTTCTTCACGTCTATTCCTAACTAAATTTATTTCAAAATTTCGAAGCCGAGGAACGTCTATCACAAACTTTATTTATTTGTTTTGTCACAAAACACATTTAAAACGTTAGTCTATAGTTTTAAGTCTTATAATAATATATAAAATACAAAAAATTTTTTTTTTAAGATTCAGTATAATATAACATTAAAATTCTTCAAAAACTTTTATTAAAAAAATTAAACATTTATTCTTCAACTTTGGCGTGGAACAAAATGCACAAGTCATTCAAGTTTCTTTTGCCGTCCTCGTCCTTATAAGCTGGATCGTCGAACGTAGACGGATGGTTCAGAAGCCAGTTGACCAACACATTAACTGTTGGGTACTCAGGAACAACCTTGACACTTTGTGTGTAGTAGTAAAGTTGGCCCGGCTTTAACGGACAAGTAATGTTCTGGCCTTGGCAAGCATCAGTGTTCTCCAAGTTGAACTCGGTAAAGGTTTGTTCGATTTTGGCACGGACTTTGGTGGTCAGAGCGTCAACTTCACGGTCTGGAGTGAAGCCGATCTTGATGATTGGCTCGCTACCTCGTTTGAAGATACAACGTTGCTTCGGGTCTTTAGGACATCCGATAGCTTCGACGGATTTGACGGTAAATTTGCTTCTACAGGCTTTGTATTTGACCGGCTCGAAGTCGGCTGCCAAACTCATGATGACCAAGAATGAAACCAAGATTAGCGTCTTCATATTGCCTAAATTATAATATGTTTAGTAAGACTTGGCTTGAAAAATCGAGTGATTACATTGAAGAAAGTAAAACGCGATAAGAATTTATAAAACTAGATTGCTTATTGTTGGGAGCAGCACCAAAAGTCAAATTTTTCTAGAATTCGACGTGAAAAGTACTGTTATAAACGGTACCAAGAGCTGGAATGTCTAAAATTACCAAAAGAGGCTAGGCTAAATCTTGAACTAGCTCATAAAGCATGGTAAGGCAGGGTAGAATAAGGTAGGGTAAGGTATGAGAGTGTAGTGTATGGTAGGGTAGCGCAATTTAAGGCAGGGCATTGTAAGACAAAGCAAGGTAAAGCAAGGTAAGGCAAGGCAGGGCACAGGCAAGGCACAGACAAAGCACAGGCAAGGCAAGGCAAGGCTAAACTAGGCCAGGCAAGGCCAGGGCAAGGCCAGGGCAAGGCCAGGGCAAGGCCAGGGCAAGGCCAGGGCAAGGCCAGGGCAAGGCCAGGGCAAGGCCAGGGCAAGGCCAGGGCAAGGCCAGGGCAAGGCCAGGGCAAGGCCAGGGCAAGGCCAGGGCAAGGCCAGGTCAAGGCAAGGGTTAGGGCTAAGGTTGTATCTTCTCTTGATTAAAAAAACTTAAAAATCAGATCGAAAAATATTAAAGACAAAAAATGTCTAAACCAAAGAAAAAAAATCAATAAAAAACATAAAATCAACTTAAAATTTTATTTATAACCCCGGTAAAAAACTCAATTAAAAGCCAAAACCCTACTCACAACGACAAAGCTAAACGTAAATCCGACTCTAAACAATCGAAAAGCTGAACGCCAAATCGATAGCTATAAAAAGCGATTAATCAAGTCCTATCACACGACGCTTTTTGGCCAAATCGATATCAAATCGTCGATCCGACTGACCAATTCTGAAAGAATTGAAAAAAGAGGAACTTCTATGTTCGCTCACTGTTTATACGATCAAGTTAAAACAATGTTTAAACAAAACGACACAAAAAAGTTAGTGGAATATGATTGAAAGTTTGAGAATATACACATAAACAATGACTGGACGTAAACATAAACGTTTTGTTAAAGTAGGCTTAGGGTAATAGGTGAGAATGGCAATGCTGTCATCAGACTTGACAAATGTGGTTGACTAGGTGCATGCCGATCTCGGCAAGGCTTGGTTAGGCCAGGCCAAGCCGGACTAGACTGAAGCAACTTAAAAAAGTCTAAAACCAACAATTCAATTTTAAGCCTAAAATTCAATTTCTAAGCCTAGAATTCTGTTTCTGAATCTAAACCTCATAGTTAAGCCTAAACGTTTAATCCTAAAAACAACAATTCAGTGTTAAGCCTAAACTTCAATTTTTAAGCCTTGAATTCTGTTTCTAAACCTAATATTGTTTTGAAATTTGAAAAAATCTAAAAATTTCAAAAAATTAAAAAAAATTTTTAAAAAATTAAAAAATATTAAAATTTTAAAATTCCGCAAAATCTCAAAATTTCCCCGCCAATTCTCAGAAATATTCAAATTTCCTGTTGAAAAGTTGAAAATGACGAAACCCTCATTCCATCGACTTTCTTTCTACGTTTCGGCTTTGGACGGCGGTTGTTGTTGCAAGAACGTAGTCCTTTGTTGGACCGGACTACAACCACCAGCCTAGTCTCGCACTAGCCAGCCTCGAACGGCTTGAAGTCTTGGATTCGCCTACAAACTTGCACTACTCTACAATCGTGGGTCAGTTGAGAAGATTGGATTTTTGTAAGGTTTGATCTTGTTTTTAAGGATGGTTTAGGTATAAAATGAGGTTTCTGGGCTCGTTTTAGGTATGAAAATGAGGCTTTTGAGCTTATTTTAGGTATAAAATGAGGTTTTTGGGCTTATTTTAGGTACGCACTGAGTTTTTCGGGCTCGTTTTAGATATGAAAATGAGGCTTTTGAGTTTATTTTAGGTATTAAATTATGTTTTAAAGCTTATTTTAGGTATGAAATGAGCTTTTGTGCTTATTTTAGGTATAGAATGAGAGTTTTGGACTTGTTTTAAGTTGAGAATTTAGATTTTAGGTTTGTTTTGAGTATGACATAAGGGTTTTTGTCTTGTCTGAGTTATAAAAATGAAGCTTTTAGGCTTGTTTTAGGTATAAAATTGGGCTTTTGGGCTTGTTTTTGGTTTAAAATGCGATATTTGAGTTCATTTTAAGCTTGAAGTGAGGTTTTTAGGCTTATTTTAAATATTAGATGAGTTTCTTAGGTTTATTTTAGGTATAAAGCAGGGGTTTTGGGCTTATTTTAGGTTTATAATTAGATTTTTCCTTGGTTTAGGTATAAAACTATGCTTTTGAGCTTAAACTTTAGGCTTAAAAATAAGATTTCGACTTAGCATTGGCTGCTTAGGCTTATTTTTAAACGTTTAGGATTAATTATAAAATTAGTAGACTTTAGGCTTAAAAGAAGGAATTTTACCTTAAAAATGAAGCTTTAGGCTAAAAACAAAATTTTTGACTTTTTAATAAAATTTTAGCCTTAAAAATTCATCTTAGCTAAGGAACTAATTTTAGGCTTATGAACTAATTTTAGGCTTAGAAACTAATTTTAGGCTTAGAAATTAATTTTAAGCTTAAAAATGGTATTTAAGTTTTTAAGATTAAACTGTTAAGTCAAAAATCAAAGTTTAGGCTTAGACTGAAGGTTCTTAGGCTTAAATATAAAAAATTAGGTTTAAAGTTAGGCATAAAAGTAGTATTTTAGGCTTAAAAATGCTATTTTAGCCTTAAAAATGCTATTTTAGGCTTAAAGTTTTTATATATATAAGCCTTAAGAACAAGGCTTATTTTATCATACTGCTTATTTTAGACTAGCTCAATCCAGAACTAAAGCACAGCACGATGAGTCAAACTTCTAGTGCAGAAGCCGGCAAAAAGACGGGCGAATCCTCCGGTTACGAATCCGCAGCCATCGAATCCGCGGCTCCAGAATCGCCGGTTCCACCAGAAGCGTCGCGTTACATGCAAGCCGAGGGTGTCAGTACGAGTGGTGATGCCAAACGACAGACTTGGAGTAATGGAATCCAGTTCTTGTTGACATGCATTTCGTTTGCGGTCGGCTTGGGGAATATATGGCGCTTCCCGGCGTTGGTCTACGAAAATGGAGGGGGTAAGGGGATTTTTTCAATTTTTAAATTACTTTTTAAAAATTTAAAAATTTTGAAAATGATAAAAGTAGAATTTTAGGCCTGGAAGCGACTTTTTAGGTTGAAAAACAAGTTTTTAGGCTTATGAACTAACTTATGATTTAAAAATAAATCTTTGGGTTTAAAATAAAGTTTTAGGCTTAGATGTGATCATTTAGACATAGATACTAAACCTAAGCTTATAAACAAACGTTTAGACTTAGCTACTGAACTTAGGCTTAGAAATGAACATTTAGGCATAGGATTAAACGTTTAGGATTAGAATGAACGTTTAGGCTTAAAAATCACAACGATTAAATTAAACTAATTAATTAAACGATTAAACTTAGTAGCGAATTTTTAAAGTTAAGTTTAGGCTTAGGAATGAGAAGTTAGGCTTAAATAAGAAATTCAGGCTTAAGAATGAATTTTTAGGTTTATGAATGAAAATTTAGGCTTGCATATGAAATTTAGGTTTAGAAGTGAACATAAAATGAAACCTAGGCTTAGAAATTAAAGCAAAATGAAATTTAGGCTTAGAAAAAAAAGTAAATTTTGAATTTTAGGTTTTAAAGCAAAGTTTATAATAAAAGATTTTATAAGTAAGATTAACCTTCTTAGGTACCTTTTTGATACCATACATTTGTTGCTCGATGATTATTGGCTTTCCCGTACTGTACTTGGAGTTGAGTTTGGGGCAGTTTGCAAGGAAGGGTCCTAGTGTGGTATACGGCAAAATCAAACCATTTTTTCATGGTATGTTTACCCTACCCTACCCTACCCTTCCCTACCTTACCCTACCCTACCCTACCCTACCCTACCCTACCCTACCCTACCCTACCCTACCCTACCCTACCCTACCCTACCCTACCCTACTCTACCTTACCCTACCTTACCCTACCCTATCCTACCCTACCCTACTCTAAACGTTTGTTTTAGGTGTTGGCTGGACGATGGTGTTCAATTCCTTCATTACGGCTGTCTACTATAACATGGTTGTGGCATGGACTTTGATCTACATGTCGATGGTAATACTCAATCGAAGCAAGTTGTGGATGAGGTGTCATAATGACTTTAACAGCATTTGTAAGTTTTTTAGGTACCAATTTTTTAATTTTAAGCAAGTTTTAAGCTAAGGCCTATTTTAGGCTTATTTTTTGAGGTTGTAGGCTTAGTTCGTATTTTCTGGGCTTAAATAAAACAAACAGCTTATGTTTTAAGTTTTAGGCTTATTTTTTAAGTTTTAGGCTTATGCTTTAAGGTTTAGGCTTATGTTTTAAGTTTTAGGCTTATGTTTTAAGTTTTAGGCTTATTTTTTAAGTTCTAGGCTTATGCTTTAAGGCTTAGGCTTATGTTTTAAGTTTTAGGCTTATGTTTTAAGTTTTAGGCTTATGTTTTAAGGTTTAGTCTTATTTTATGTTATTAAGCTTAAAAATAAAATTTTAAAAAATTAATTTTTTTAAATTAAAACATAAACTTCAAAATTTTTAAAATTTCAGACTGCCAAACTCGACTAGAGGACGAGGACTGCACAGATGAGATGGGACAACCGGCTTTTTTCTTTAACCAGACTTGTTATGCCAAGAATGATACGGAAGCCTTGGAGCTGAAAAACGCAACTTTTCAAGAACACAATGCCGTTTCACCTACCGAAGAGTTCTTTGAGTAAGCGTCATCTACTTTATTCGGAAATGTATATTAGGGTAGCTTTATATAATAGTTATAATAGTAAGTTAATATGATAATATGGGCATAAAGTAGTACTAGAATTGGCAGAAATGATGCTTCAGCATGAATAGCATAAGAATAGGATATGAGTTCTGTAGGATGACGGTAGTAATAGACTAGCATGGGTTTTGAGCTGAAATTATGCTACTGTGTGACTGCCCTAGGGTAGAGTATGGGCACGAAAAGGTAAGGCTAGAGTAAACGACGGCACTTATTAATGGTAGGATACTGGTTAAGGGTTCTGTGATATTATGAGAGTACACGAGTAGGATAAATACTGTAGCACTATTGTAGTACTAGAATAGTATTGGTGTCGTATGGTTACGGTAGTGTTGAAAAATTTGAGAAGATCTGATTACGGTAGCAGTAGAATAGTATGAATACTGTATGACTGCGGTAGTGTTTGAATAGGCAGAAATGCCGCTACAGTGTGGCTAGCGTAGGAGTAGGGTATGAGTACCGTAAGGTGAGGATACGATACTTGGTAGAATAGGGTTTGAGTGGGAGTACTGTAAGTCTTGGTACGAATACTGTGGGATAGAAGAAAACAAGTAATGTAAAGCAGGGTAGGGTAGAGTAGGGTAGGGTAGGGTAGGGTAGGGTAGGGTAAGGTAGGGTAGGGTAGGGTAGGGTAGGGTAGGGTAGGGTAGGGTAGGGTAGGTTAGGGTAGGGTAGGGTAGGGTAGGGTAGGGTAGGGTAGGGTAGGGTAAGGTAGGGTAAGGTAAGGTAGGGTAAGGTAGGGTAGGGTAGGGTAGGGTAGGGTAGGTAGGGTAGGGTAGGGTAGGGTAGGGTAGGGTAGGGTAGGGTAGGGTAGGGTAGGGTAGGGTAGGGTAAGGTAGGGTAAGGTAGGGTAGGGTAGGGTAGGGTAAAGTAGGGTAGGGTAGGGCAGGGCTTTTACTCTATTTTAAAATCTCCATTTTCAGTCAGTTTGTTCTCCAATTGGCACCAGAAGCTGGCGAATGGCAGATGAACTGGATGATTGTTGGTGCCTACTTTGCAGCTTTTGTTATCACTGCCGTTGCCATGTACAAAGGTCCCAAAATCATAGGAAAATTGTCGTATGTCATGGCCGTGTTGCCGTATGTGATTATTGCGATTTTGTTTGGACGTGCTGTGACTTTGGATGGAAGTTCGATTGGGTTACATTACTATCTGGTCGATTTTAAGTGGGAACTTTTGTACAATCCGAAGGTAAGGCCTTGGTTTACCTTACTTTCGAATTGACATAATAGTTCTATGGCAGGCTGAACGCCAGGCTACGGTTGATGTAGAGTACGGCTACAGTAGGGCATGCGGGAGATACAGTAGGTATAATGTAGGGCTGTATTCGGTTTTCCTAAAAGACTTCTGTAGGACATAGGGTACGGTTGCGGGTAATGTAAGCTAGGGCTACTGTAGAGTATAGGGTAGGGTACAGTAAGTGTAGGGTAAAGCTGTGGGAGGATCCAAGTAAAAATATAGTGGGGTTACTGTAGGAACTTACCGTAGTTTTGGCAAAATTCAGAGACTCATTGTAACTCTACCATAAGCTTATTGCGGTTCTATTTCGACATAATTACTGTAGTTTTTCTCTAAGTTTTCAGTAGTTTTACTCTGTGTTTTCTGTATCTATTATTAACTTACTGTAGTACTAACAGAGACGTCGCTACGATTTTTCTTTGGGGGTTGTGGAAACCCAAAAACTTTTTTTTTGTTTTTTCACGTACAGGTACCTCTACCTGTGGATTTTTTTTCAGATCGGCTCTGGGGGGGGGGTGTCACTCCAAATCACCCCCTCCCCCTCCCCCAACGACTTCCCTGAGTACTACAATTTGTTTATCGTCACCATAACTTGTTTTCGTTAGTTATACCTTATGCGTACCGTAGTTCTCTTACCGTATTATCCTAACACTACGTTCACGCTTTTTTACCACAAGCCTAGTGCTGTTGTTTCAGACCTGGCAAGCCGCCGCCACCCAGGTATGCTTTAGTCTATCACCCGGCTTTGGTGGTATTCTGTCGTATGCCACATACAATCGTAGGGATCATAACGTGTACAGAGACGCGTTCATCATAGCATCGGCCGACTTTTTCATGTCCGTGTTTGGTGGAACGGCCGTTTTTTGTGTGCTGGGCTACATGAGCAAGGCCTTGAATGTGGAGATCAACAGGGTGGTGAAGGTAAGGGGTGTGGCATCAACAGGGTGGTGAAAGTAGAGGTGGAAGAGTTTGGGGGTTTTTAGGTAACAAAATTTAAAAAACGGTCGATATTGGGTAACAAACTTTGAAAAAGTGGTCGATTTTGTGTAACAAATTTTAAAAAATGGTCGATTTTAGGTAACAAAATTTAAAAAAGGGTCGATTTTAGGTAATAAAATTTAAAAAAACGGTCGATTTTAGGTAATAAAATTTAAAAAGAAACGGTCGATTTTGGGTAACAAAATTTTAAAAAATGGTCCATTTTAGGTAATAAAATTTAAAAAAAACGGTCGATTTTGGGTAACAAAATTTAAAAAATGGTCGATTTTAGGTGAAAAAATTAAAAAAAACGGTTGATTTTAGGTAACTAAATTTAAAAAATGGTCGATTTTAAGTAAAATATTTGAAAAATGCCAATTTTGATACCTAAAAAAATATTTTTTTCAGGACGGCACAGCCCTAGCCTTCATTGCCTATCCAGAAGCGCTGGGATGGCTACCAATCCCAGAGTTGTGGTCTTTCTTGTTCTTCTTGATGTTGTTCTTGCTTGGCGTGAGCTCGGAGTTCGGCTATGTTGAGGCTGTGATCACGGCGTTTGCTGACCAGTTTCCACTCCTGAATCGACATAAAGGCTTGACTACGTTTGGAGTTTGCTTCATTTGCTTCATTTTTGGGTTACCTCTTTGTACTACGGTAGGTTTTATGAAGTTTAAGGGTTACGTTGGGAAGAACAAGGGTATGGTGGACCGGGGTTGTGGCTAGGGTGATGTTATTCGTATTCTTGGTTTTTAGAATGAGGCATTAATTAGGTTTTGATAAGTGTTTACTGTAAAGCATACTGTTATGGTTATGATAAGGCTAACGGCTAGGTACTGTAGAAATAGCTTAAGAATTACTAAAGAGCTTACGGCAAGGGTAGAGTAAGATTTACAGTAGGGATACGGTAGTTCTAGAGTAGGTCTTACTGTAAGGCATACGGTAGAATAATATAAAGTAGGGTAAGGTACAGTTAAACTAAGATTTATTGTAGGGTTTACGGTATGGTAGGATAGGGTGTGGTAAATAGGGTAGGGTAGTGTAGGGTAGAGTAGGGTAGGGTAGGGTAGGGTTTGGTAAGCTAGAGTACTTTTCATACTAATTACGGTATTTTTAGTCCGGATTCTACTACTTTAACCTAGCCAACGACTACTGTGCCGGCTTCTCGGTAACGGTCTGTTTACTCTGTGAATCCGCTTTGATTGCCCACTTTTATGGTCTGAACAACTACGTAGCTGATCTGCACTCAATGTTTGGAAAGCCAAGGCATTTGATTGGAAAGGTCTTTGGTATGACCGGTTACTATGTCAAGTTTATATGGTTCATTGCGTCGCCGCTGCTTTGGTTTGTGAGTATTTTTGAAAATTTTTTAAAATTTCAGACAATTACCATAGCGACCATTTACAAGCAACTCTACTACGTACCAAGCACTGGCAAAGGCTCTTCGTACTATGAATTCCCAATGTGGTTGATTGGTATTGGCTGGGTGGTGTCGGTAATACCATTCACCACCATTCCCGGATTCCTTTTGTACAATGTGTATCACTTTAAGAGGATTGGCGAGGTAAGGATGGATTTCGATTATTACTCTTGACGGCCTGTATGATGGGTGGGGGTGGTTTCTGGGATTTTGTGTGATATTGGAGCGGGGGGGGGGTTTGTGAGGGACAAGTAGGCTTAGGCTTAGTAGGCTTAGGCTTAATAGGCTTAGGTTTAGTAGGCTTAGGCTTAGTAGGCTTAGGCTTAGCAGTCTTATTTATAGCTTTTTTCAAATTTTAAAATTTTTATTTTCAGCCATTATCCGAGTTGTGGAAATGTCAACCAGGCTGGCCTTCCTTCCTCAAGCATCGTCCAAACGACCTCGAGCTACTGAAAAAAGAGAGTGGAATCTCCGACGAAATGGACACTCCCACCGCCACTTGAACAACAACATTATTGTGATCTCTAGGCTGAACTGGTTTTGATTTTATAAATTATAAAAGACCACTGAATTTCTTATCAGCTGATTTGGGATTTTAATGAGTTTTGGTTGATTTAGGGCTTGTAAAAAAAGTTTTGTCGTTTTTTACGTGGAAGATAATGGAAATTGGCGACAAAACTTTTTTAAGCGTTTTTACGGGTAGAATAGGGTATGATAGGTTAGGGTAGGTTAGAACAGAGTATGGTAGGGTAGGTTAGAATAGTTTAGGGAAGGTTGGGGTAGGGTAGGTACCATCAGTGTATCATGTCACATAGTCCATGTTGCGAGTATACTGTAGTCAAATAAGCATGAGTTTGTTATAGATGAAATTGTTATATCAAGTTGTTCAAATAATTCGGTGCCCCTTGTCAAAACAATTTTTTTGAATTTAAGGGCACAGAATTATTTAAACAACCTAATGTGAAAGTTTGCTATTGAGGAGTTTGATATAGAAGAGCCCTTTATATTTTGTTGTTCAAATAATTCTGTGCCTCTTAACTACAAAAGTTTTTTTTTAAAGGGAGCACAGTATTATTTGAACAAGACAATATGAAAGTTCGTCATGAAAGAGTTTGTTATAGGGAGTTTGGCAAAAGGTTGTTCAATTAATTCTGTGCCCTTTTCAAAACAAATTTTTGTGATTAAGAGGCACAGAATCATTTGAACAATCTAATATGACAATTCGCTATTGAAAAGGTCTTTATAGAGGAGTTTGCTATAGTTCGTTATAGAAGAGTTCTACAGTAATCACAATTTATTGTTAGCCTGATCAAGTGTTTCGTGAAATGACTCCAAAAACTTGAAGAATTCTTCAGCCGGCTGCTTGATAACATTAACTTTCTCCTTTCCGTCCTCGGTTTTGGTTCGAAACTCGGCCGAAACCATGGTTCGAGGGTCGGTCGAGCCCGACTTCGAAGCGATTTCAACCACCGTAGCGTAGGAAAACTTGAGCAATTTTTCGGGCATGGCTGGAAAAATAGTGGCTAAGACAATGTTTTATCATTTTAAATTGTAAAACGGTGTTATCTTTTTACTTAAATTTGTCAAAAATTGGATAGAACATAAAAAAAGAGCAAAAAAAGGCAAAAAATGACAAAAAATGAGCTGATTTTGGCAAAAATTGGCTAAAAAAGTTAAAAACTAGGCTTATTATGCTTGAAAAACTCAATTCTATATACTTTTTGACCGCCTCATAAACAAGGAAAGCTTTTAAAATACAGTTTGAGATCAATACCCATGATGAACTTAACAAAAATTTCAATTTTTTTCAAATTTTATTATGAAACATATAGTTAAAAATTTTAAAAATCAAAATTATGTGACAAAACAAGACGTCATTTTGAATGAAGATAACATAGATATACAAAACATAAATTAATTTAGCTAAAAAATTAAAAAAAAAGATAAAAAAGAGATCAAAAACAATATTTTAGGTAACAAAAAACAGTGAAAAACCATCAATTTATAGAAAATATGTACAATAATAAGCTTTGCCATGTCTTGTATTAGGTAAGTCGTCCAAATAATTATGTGCCTCTAAACTTCAAAAATTTTCTTTGGTAAAGAGCACAGAATTATTTGAACAACCTAATAGCTAACTTTGCAGCTTGTTCAAATAATTCTGTGCTTCATAACTCCAAAAATGTTCTTTGGTAAAGAGCACAGAATTATTTTAACAACCAGATAAAAACAGTATTATATATAATAGTATACGCCTGATTATCAGTGGAGCTTCGGTATAACGAGTCAAAAGGCAAGGTTAGACGTATTTGTTATAGAAAAGCTTTGTCATAGAGAAGTTTTGTTGTAGAATAGTTTGTTATACAAGAGTTCAGAGAGGATTTGAATGAGTTTTGGTTGATGTAGAACTTGTAAAAAAAGTTTTGTCGTTTTTTTATGTAGAAGCCAATGGAAATTGACGACAAGACTTTTTAAGGGTTTGATAAGGACTTTGTTATAGAAAAGTTTGTTATATAAGAGTTCGTTATAGAGGAGCTTGTTATACAGTAGTTTGTTATAGAGAAGCTCGTTATACAGGACCTTGGTTACAGACGCATACCATCAAACCCTATCATAACGCACAACAAGCCCGCCTTCACAAGCGGCCATTAGTATTCTGTTATCCGGACTAAATGCCAGCTGTCTATTGCAAGTCTTCATGTCTGGACCACCCAGCACATAGGTCATGTCATCACAGTCAGGGTTGACTTGGTGTAGGTCTAGGAGCTTGATTTTACCTTGCTCATTGCCTACTGCTACGTACTGAAAAAGAAAATTGAAATTTTGAAAAAGAAACGGTGTATTTGGGTATATTATTACAGTAGGGTGGGTAAGATATAGGGTAGGGAATAGGAAAGGGTAGGGTAGTAAGTGTTGCATAGGGAGTGTAAGGTAGGGTAGAAAGGGTTGGGTAGGGTACATAAGACATAGCAAAAAGTAGAATAGAGAGTAAAGTAAGGCATAAGACATGACATAGAGTAAGGAATGGGGTAGGGCGTACGGTAAGTTTCAAGTATATTTAAAATAAATAGTATACTGTAGGATAGAGTAAGGTAGAATAAGACAAAGTAACGTAAATTTAGGGTATGATAAGATAAGGTAGGGACAGGTCGAGCAAAGAAGAGTAGGGTAGAGCCTAATACTGCAAGGAACAGTAGAGTCAGGTAGATTAAACAAGAATAGGGTAGTTCACGGTAGGGCAAAATAAAGTAGGACAGTGTTAGGTAAAGTGAAAAAAGTAGGGTAAGGCATAGCAGAGCAGGATAATGTAGGGTAGGATCAAGATGAATAAAGAAAAATAAGGTAGGGTATGGTAGGAAAAGGGAGGATAGGGTTAGGTAGGGTAAAAAAGTATTGGCTTTAGTCTTTCTGTAATGAATTTCTAAACCTTACCCTACCGTTCTCCACCCAAACTTACCCTATCCTAACCTACCGTACCCTACCCTATTTTACACTACCATATAGTACCTTACCCTTCCTACTTATTCCTGTTTAGTTTGATGACATTTGTTCTACCCCTCATACTTACCTTGTTATCACTGCTAATGTCAAACTTGATAAACCACAACGAAGTGTCAGGAATGTCAAACCAAGCATGATGTGCCGAATAGGTCTCAGTCCTCAATATTGTGCCCTCACCAGCTGGACCACTGTTAAACGGTCCAAACTTCCAGACCACCATTTGGCCTTCGCATGACTTTGAAATGACAAACTTGCCAATAAACCTGGCACAGTCCACATAATTGGTATGCACGTCTTTGGTACTAGCCAATGGGAAATGGTTCTCAATCGAGGCTAGCTTGACTATTTCGTCTCGCTTCGACTCGTCATAACTGTCCTTTATCCGCTGGCCTACTTTGGTTTCTGGCCTGCAATCCCATACCTTCATCGTGTGATCCATTGAGGCTGTTAGGAGGTAGGTTTGGTCTATGTGGAAGTCCTGAAAAGATACAAAGGTCGGGGTGGGAGAAACAGTAAGGGCAGGGGTAACAGTAAGAATAGGTGTACAAGTACCGGTAGGAGTAGGGTATGATAGGGTAGGGGGTAAAAGGTAAGGGTAGAAAGTAGGGGTTACAGAGTAAGGTGTAGAAGGTATTGAGTAGTGGGGAGGGAGAGGTCGGAGGTAAGGAATAAGGGGTAGAGAGTAGGGGGTACAGGGTAAGGGTTAGGGGGTACTGGGTGGGCGGTGCTGGGTAGAAGATAGGGGGTAGAGGGTAGTGAATAGGAGGTAGGGGGTAAGGGAAGGGGTTGGGGTAGAGGTAGGGGTAGGGGTGGAGGTAGGGGTAGAGGTAGGGGTGGGGGTATGGGTAGGGGTAAAGGTAGGGGTAGGGTACTTACACAAGAAATAACTTCATCAAGATGCCCTTCAGATCCACCATAGATTGCTAGACAATGTTGAAGACCAACGTTCCATATCCTGGCCGTTCTGTCCTTCGAAGCTGATGCTACTATCATCGTATTCTCACATGATGTTCGTATTTCATTTACTGAATCACCATGGCCTCGGAGGGTCTAAAAACATAGTTTTTATATTAATTTAAGTATTATTGTTACCTGAACTTAAATTTTTGATAGCTTTGTTACTCAAAAATGTCATTTTAGGCCGTTTTTTTACATAAAAAGATTATTTTAGACCGTTTTGTTACCTAAAATGTCATTTTAGACCGTTTTGCTACCTAAAAATGTCATTTTAGAAAATTTTGTTACCTAAAAATGTCATTTTAGACCATTTTGTTACCTAAAAATTTCATTTTAAACCGTTTTGTTACCTAAAAATGTCATTTTAAGCCATTTTGTTACCTAAAAATGTCATTTTAGATCATTTTGTTACCTCAAAATGTCATTTTAACTAACTTTTCTTACCTAAAACCTAAGCTCAGATAATTTTGTTACCTAAAATCATAAAAAACAGAAATCTTAAAGAAACTTACACCAAGAGTTTGTTCTGTCATTGGATCGATGACTCGCATCACTCCAGATGCTCCACCAACAATCAGCACTATCTTTTCTCGGAATTCGTCCACAGCCCAGGTTAAGGCATATAAACTCTCGTCTTTCTGAAAAATATTACCTTATCATACTCAGTTTATCAATATTTTACTTGTTTTGCCCAAAACGCTACGGTTTGTTACTTATATTGTAGTAGGTAGAAACTCAAGCCTATATTGTTGTAGATAGAGACTAAAGCCTATATTATAGTAGGTAAAAGCAATAAAAAGTCAAGATCTCAAAAAATACAATCATTTTAAGCAAAATCTTCAAATTCCTACCTATATTATAGTAGGTCAAACACAAACAAATCCCAAAATCAAAGAAAGCAGAAAAAATGTTACCTAAAAACCAATAAAAATCAAAAAAGAACTTGCATTATCATCCTGAAAATGTAGTCGAAGCTCAGGTTTCTTGCCATTAGCTTCCAGAAAATAGAGATGAATGTGGTTAGCACCACACGTAGCCAAGTAATACCCATCTTTGGCGTCGAAAAACGGATTGAACATGCAGCCATAGACTGAGGACATGTGGTCCTCCTGAAAGTTATATTGTTTTATATTGATATGTAGGGGGTTGAAAGTTAGCTAGGATGTCGCTAGGGGTAGAAGTAAGGATAGAAGTAATGGTAAAGCAAATGATAGAAGTAAAGATAAGGATAAAGGTAAGAGTAGAAGTGAAGATAGAAGTAAAGGTAGAGTTAGACGTACAAGTAAGGGTAAGGATAGGAGTACACGTAACGGTAGGTATAGGCCTATCAATAAAAGTAAGGGCAGAGGTTGTTGTAGGGGTAAGAGTAAGAGTAAAGATAAAAACAGTGGTAGGGGTAAAGATCAAGGTAGAATCAGGATTAGGGTTAACAGTAAGGGTAAAGGTAAGAGTAGTGATATGTGTAGGGATGAGTAAAGAGAAGAGTAATAATAGAGGTAAACGTAGAAGTAAGAGTAAAGGTAGAGATAGAAGTAAAGATAAGAGTAGTGATAGGTGTAGAAATAAAGGTAAGGGTAGAGGTTGAAGTAGAAGTAGGCGCAAGAGTAAAGATAAAAGCAGCGGTAGGAGTAAAGATAAGAATAGAAATTGAATTAAGGGGATGACAGTAAGGGTGAAAGTAAGGGTAGGAGAAGATAAGAGTAGTGATAGATGTAGAGATAAAGCAAAGAGTGGAGGTCGGAGTGTAGGTAGGAATAACAGTAAAGATAAGAGTAGTGGTAGAGGGAAAGGCAGAGATAGCAATAAGGGTAAGAGTAGGAGCAATCATTAGAGTAAGAGTAAGAATAAGGTTAAAAAGTAGCAGTAACAGTAGGAATAAAAGTAGCAATGTGTGTGTATAGAAAGATAAGATTGGAAATCAAAGTGGAGTCGTATTTTACCTATTTTTAAAGTCCAAGTGAACTGTTACCTAAAAATCAATAAAAACCAAAAAAAACTTACCACAATATAATTAGAGTACTTGTATGGAGCCTGTTCACTTGGCACGGCCTTGCCTGAACCCTTCTTTCGACCTCTTTTCTCCAAAGACTTTCCCTTCATTCTGCCAAATCTAGTGTAATATAATTAATGTCAATATAATGAAGTTAAAAATGAAAAAAATTGGATTAAACAATATAGATAGATATATATAAAACAAAGCGATCTATTTATGTGCTTTTTAAAAATGTTTTTGCGCATTTTTTTCTATTTTTATAGAATAAAACGCCAGTTTTTTTGGCGTAAAATTTTTCGTGGTGGGACCAAGAAGAAAAGGTAATGAGAAAAATAACGTGTTTGATTATGTTTTTATAATTAGTGTTTGTCAAGACGAGACTAGCACTTGACCAAATCATTATAAAGCAGGTTAAGACAGGGTAGAATAAGATAGGGTGAAATATGACAGTGTTTGGTAGGGTAGCGCAAGTTAAGGCAATGCAGTGTAAGGCAAGTCAAGCCAAGGCCAAACAAGGCAAAAAAATGCAGGATAGGGCTAGGCTAGGCTGGGCTGGGCTGGGCTGGGCTGGGCTGGGCTGGGCTGGGCTGGGCTGGGCTGGGCTGGGCTGGGCTGGGCTGGGCTGGGCTGGGCTGGGCTGGGCTGGGCTGGGCTGGGCTGGGCTGGGCTGGGCTGGGCTGGGCTGGGCTAGGCTAGGCTGGGCTGGGTTGGGCTAGGCTGGGCTGGGCTGGGCTGGGCTGCGTTGAGCTGGGCTGGGCTGGGCTAGGCTGGGCTGGGCTGGGCTGCGTTGAGCTGGGCTGGGCTGGGCTGCGTTGAGCTGGGCTGGGCTGGGCTGGGCTGGGCTGGGCTGGGCTGGGCTGGGTTGGGCTGGGGTGGGCTGGGTTGGGCTGGGGTGGGCTGGGCCAGGGCAAGGCCAGGCAAGGCAATCGCTAAAGTTAAGGCTTAAGCATTAGGCCAGGACTCTCGACCAGTGCTTTGAGCTAAAGTTTTGGGCTAGGCAAAGTAAAGCTATCCCTTCCGCTCTTACCCTTCTCCTACTACTACTTCTACTCCTACTCCCAATATTAGTTCTACCCCAACCTTCTCCTCTCTTTGCCACCACGCCTTACGAAAGACCTAAGAAGACCCGCCCAGTAACAAAAACAACCAATATTACTGTCACAACACTTTTACAACTAATAATCAAACAAAATCGACCAACAATTTAAATAATTTATTCAAATTCAATACCTATATCACTGCATATCAAGTTGCAGTTGTAGCACTACTACTCGCTTTAGCTGCTTCGGCATCGCTCATCCAAGCCGGTGGGAAAGTAATGTCCAATTCTTGATCATCGTCGCTTACTGGTGCACTTCTGGAAACGGATGTCTTCGAATTTGGCTTCTTCATCGTGTTTTCGTATTCTGAAGCCGCTGGCTTCACCGTGCGCCTCTCCCACCATAGTTGGAACAAAAATATGATGGTGAAGACAATCAAAGCGGTGAAAAAAGTCGACCAGAAGATGTAATCAAACGAGTGGTCGTTACTATGCCGGCGGACTTGGTATGGGATGCCAAATTTGTATTGTGTAGCAATGTAGCCTTCGAAGAGTTGCTGATCTTCGAAGCCGAGTAAAGCTAGATCGACCAGCGTCTTTGTGTTCGCAATGGTCTCGTTTGTGGTCTGAACTGGGAATTTTTTGGGTAGGGTAGGGTAGGGTAGGGTAAGGTATCTTACCAAATTGTCGCTTAAATTGATTGGAATCGCCATTTGTATTGCCCTGGATACAATATACATGTTGTAGTTGTCCTTGACATCCATATATCTGTAGAATTGCAGCGAAATGTAACCTGCCCGCTGATCGTGCATTATCCAACATGGAGCACTAAAATGACATTTTTTAATTAAAAAATCGCAAAAACTTTGTTTACAGAACTATTTTTTGAAATTACAGTACCCTACCCGACCCTACCCTACCCTATCCTATCCTACACTACCCTTCTCTACCTTGCTTTGTCCTGTTCTGTCCTGCCTTACCAACATATCTACCTTTATCTTGCTATGCTACACCTTACCATACCCTGGAATGCAATACTTTATACAAAACCGCAAAAACTTTCTTTACAAGCTCGACTTTCATAAAGAAATGGCATTTTAAGCTTAAAAAAGTCATTTTAAATCTTTAAAACGCCATTTCTAACTCCAATAAATGCCAAAAACAATGTCAACTTACTCAAAGTTTGGCCACTTTACAATAGAAATTGAGTCGATATCCGTGACATTACCAATAAACAAGTTGAACTCGTCACAATTCTCTCGAAATGTCATATTATCATAGTGCTGAAACTCTTGAACGACCTCACTTTCATCAGTTATCAGCTTTTGAAGCTTGTCTATGAACTGATCAATCGTAAGAGAAGCGGCCGCAACTCCATTTGTAGACAAAACACTTTGGAACAAAAGCAAAATGAAAATTGACCGGTACATCGGGAAAGAAATATGAAAAGTGGCATAAGTTCATTAAAAAAAAGTCAAAAAATAAAATTTTGAAAAACGTTTTTTAATTTTTTAAAATCTTAAAAGCCGAAAAAGCTAAACATAAACTTTCCATGCCTAAACCTAAAAGCCTAAGCCTAGAAGCCTAAGCCTAAAAGCTTGAGTCTAGAAGCTTAAGCCTAAAAGCCTAAGCCTAGAAATTTAAGCCTAAGCCTAAGTCTAAAAGCCTAAGCCTAGAAGCCTGAGCCTAGAAGCCTAAGCCTAGAAGCCTAAGTTTAAGCCTAAGCCTAAGCCTAAACCTAGAAGCCTAAGCCTAGAAGCCTAAGTCTAGAAGCTTGAGTCTAGAAGCTTAAGCCTAGAAGTCTAGAAACCTAAGCCTAAGCCTAAGCCTAAACCTCAAAGCCTAAGTTTAAAAGCCTGAGCCACCTAAGCCTGCCAAACCTACTATGACCATTTTTACAACTTTTAAGCCCCCTATGTACGCCTGAGCCAGCAAGTCTAAGCCTAGAATCCTAAGCTTGCTAAGCGTATGCCTAAGTTAACTAAGTCTAAACCTACAAATCCTAAGATTGGTAGTGCCAAGACTAATAAGTCTAGGTTTATTATCCTAAACTTATGAGCCTCAGTCTACTTTGCCTCAACACATGAGTAAGCCTAAACCTATCAAATCTAAGACTAGAATTATAAATCAAAGCCTAAGCCCAAAAGCACTATATTTTTTTTTCAAAAATAAAACAAAAAAAATTTAAATATTCAATTTGAAATGAATTTTAAAATTTTGATCAAAAAACCATCATTTCTCTACCAAAATGCTGCTAAAACTAGTCGTGCTTTCACTGTTTTCGCTACAATGTTGGAACATTCTGTCAGCTCAAGAACAACAATGCACTGAGGAAGCAGCTAAAGTAAGACAACCATAATTTAAAAAATCACTTTTATTTAACTTCTATCTTGAAAAAAATTTTTTATTTTAAAATGTTAAAAAAAGTTTTGTCGTCATTTTACCTTAGCTTGTATTGTTAAAAACGACATGACTTTTTTAAACCGCAAAAAAAGTTGAATTTTTAAAATTTTTGAAATTTTAATAATTAAAAATAAAATTTTAAAGCCAATTTTACATTTACAGAGACTGTTCTCCTGTGCCGTCGTTCTGACCGAAAAATATTACGAAAAGCCAGACTATGAGACGGTCGAAAACTTGAATTTCATGCTCAAGAGCCTCAATGAACACGACTATGGAAAGGAGAATTGCTCGTAAGTCAACTTTTTATTGAAAATAAATTCGGTTTAGTAGGTTTAGGCATAGTAGGCTTAGGCTTAGTAGGCTTAATTTTAGTAGGCTTAGTAGGATTATGCTCAGTAGGCTTAGGCTGAGTAAACTTAGGCTTAATAGGCTTAGGTTTAGTAAGCTTAGGCTTAGTAGGCTTAGGCTTAGTAGGATTATGCTCAGTAGGCTTAGGCTGAGCAAACTTATGCTTAATAGGCTTAGGTTTAGTAGGCTTAGGCTTAGTAGGCTTAGGCTTAGTAGGCTTAGGCTTAGTAGGCTTAGGCTTAGTAGGCTTAGGCTTAGTAGGCTTAGGCTTAGTAGGCTTAGGCTTAGTAGGCTTAGGCTTAGTAGGCTTAGGCTTAGTAGGCTTAGGCTTAGTAGGCTTAGGCTTAGTAGGCTTAGGCTGAGCAAACTTAGGCTTAATAGGCTTAGGTTTAGTAAGCTTAGGCTTAGTAGGCTTAGGCTTAGTAGGCTTAGGCATAGTAAGCTTAGGCTTAGTAGGCTTAGGCCTAGTAGGCTTAGGCTTAGGAGGCTTAGGCCTAGTAGGCTTAAAAAACTATTCTTCTTTTAGCCTAAAGCCGCTAAGCTCCAGCCTATTAAGCCTATGCTTAATAAGTCAAAGCCTATTAAACGTACGCCTATTCAGCAGAAGCCTACAAAGCCTAAGCTTGCTTATCCTGAGCTTACTAAGCCTAAATTTTCTATGCTCAATTCTATAAACTTGACCCTTAAATCCTAAGCCTAAGACCTAACCTAAGTCTAATTTCAAGCCTTTTTAAAAAAATATGTTTTCAGAAAATTCTGGCAGTTAGCACTATGTGCACGATCATTGTCCAGTTGTTACGGTATGATCGTACAAGGCTCGTTACTCAGTAATCTTCATTCGTCATTCGCTCACGCTTTTGGGGTCTGTAATGGACTTAGCTCAAATGGTAAAGGTTTACTTTAATGTTTATTAATTTAGGCCTATCAAGATTAATAGTTTTTTTTTAATTTTGTTAAGCCTAATGGAAAATTATTATTTTTTAAGGTCAAGAGCATTAATTTTAACTACAACATCGATTTTTATATCATTTTTTAGAATCTGTCAACGTGGCTTACTGTTACAGTTTTCTTGGTACAACATGCACTGAAGACGGGAATTATTATTGCAGGTAATACTTTATTACGATACTACACTTATCTTTTTCTACTCCACACTATCCTGCCAGATCTTTCTCGTTTTATCTTACCTAACCCTACCAAGCCCAACCCTATCGTGCCCAACCTTACCTCGGATGCCTTGCCTTGCTTTGCCTTGGCTTATATAACCTTCCCAATCACCTACTGAACTCTACTTGTTTTACTCTACTTCTTCAGTATTTTATTAAAGCTAACAGTATTCTTACCAAAGCTTACAGAGTCCGTTACCGTCGTAAAAATTTTACATTTTTAAAATAAATGTCATGCCTAATTTAAAAATTTTCAGAGAATCGTATTTCTCCTGTTTGAGTGGTTATGTTCGACGAGAATGTGTGGACCTGTCCCCGCTTGGCCGCCAAACGCTGTGTTATTTGATTGGATACAAGAGCAAAAAGACCTGTCAATACGGATCATTGTGCAGTACTGAGTTGTGGACAGAAGAATGACGTTTTCTACATTAGGCTTAAATTTTCTTTGTGTTAACGAAAATAAAAATTTTTAATTTTATTGCATAATACTATAAAATTAGCCTAAAAAGGTAATATTGAAAAATAAGCCTAGAAGTTTAAACCTAGAAGCCCAATACTACAAGCCCAGTATTAACAGCCTAAGCCTAGAAACTTCAACCCAGAAGCCTAATTCTAGAGGCTTACGCCTAGAAGCCTAAGCCTAGAATCCCAAACCTAGAAGCTTAAGCCTAGAAGTTTAAGCTTACAAGCCTAAGTCTAGAAGCCCAAGCCTAGAACCTTAAGATTAGAAGCCTACGCCTAGGTGCCTAGCTCTACAAACCTAAGCCTAGAAGCTAAACCTAAGCCTAGAAGCCTAAGCATAGAAGCCTAAGTTTAGAAGCGTGAGTCTTGAAGCTTAAGATTAAAAGCCTAAATCTAGAAACCTAAACCTAAAAGTTTAAGACTAGAAGCCTAAGCTTAGAAACGCAAGCCTAAGCCTAAAGCGTAAAAACAAAATTTAAAAATTAACCTAAAAACCTAAGCTTAAGTTCAAACCTAATCTCAAGCCGGAGCCTAGAAACCTAAACATAGAAGCCCACGCCTAAAAAATGCCCTAAAGCCTAAACCTAGATGCATAAGTCGAAAAGCCTTAGCTTCAAATTCTCAACCTACTAAAACTAGTCTAAAAGCCTAAACCTAAAAGCTTTAGCCTAAATTCTTAAGCGTAATGTTTACAGCCTGAGCATAGAAGCCTAAGCCTAAAAGAAAGAATTATGTTTACTGACCTACGCTTACTAAACCAAAGCCCACTACTATGACTAAGCCTAAACAATACAAAACAAGAGCCAATTCCAGGTAAAACACATTTATACAAGTCCACCCAGCCAATAATAACATAAATATGCCATTTGGTTCTCTAATACCACCATCACTTCGCGTTGAGCATTTGCCGAATGCTTTTTTTGGTTCCTTTGGCCAAAACATTCAAAAACTGTAGCTCGCACTGATCCATTTGATTAAAGCCTGTGTAGGAAAAGTAGCAATGGCACACCAAAGCCACAACACTCATCAAACATACAATGTTCGTAAAGTGGTCCCAGGCGGTAAGTTTGCGGTCTGGGTACATCAACTGGATCACGAACATGCTCATCAAGGTTTTAGCCATCACCGAGAGTCCAAAGTAGTAGAGAAAGACCACAGAGAGTTTGAAGGTCATAGAAGCGTAGTCGTTACTAAAATTTTTTTTATTTTAAAATGTTAAAAATTGCACTGTGCAAAAAAAAAATACTTAGTTATCAGCTCAAGCCTACAAAAGCTAAGCCAATTACGCTTATTGTCAAGTCTATTAAGCCTAACCTAAGAGCTTAAGCATTGATGCCTAAGCCTAAAAACGTGAAAGAAGCCCAAGCATAAAAAACTAAGCCTAGGAGCCTAAGCCTAAACCTAAGCTAAAACCTAGAAGCCTAAGCCTATGCCTAAGCCTAAGCCTAAGACTAGAAGCCTGAGCCTACAGCTTAAGCCTAGAATCCTAAGTCTAGAAGCTTAAGTTTAGAAGCCTACGCTTCAAAGCCCAAAAGCTTTAATTTTAAGCCTGTACGTTCAAGCTCAGAAGCCTTATACTATTATAAAAGCCTACGGTCAAAAGCCTAAGCTTAAATCCATAAACCTAAAAGCATAAAAACTTGAGGCTAGAAGGATACTACGCCTCAATTAACTAAGCATAAATTTGCTACGCCTAAGCCTAGAAGCAAAACTTTTTAAAGCATAACCTTTGAAGCTTACACCTACTAAGCACAGGCTCACACAGTCTAAGCTTACCAACTCTAAGCATACTAATACTTACTAAGTCTGACTAATGAGGTTGGCGAACGAAATCGAAGAATCGATGAACAAACAGATAACGAGCAGTTCCAAAACGACCAAATTGTAGACGACAGATCTGTAGCTGTAATTGCTCGCCCAGTAGTAGAGGATGCCTGACAAGCCCATGAATGGCACATATAGAGAATACTTGGATGAGCAAACAAAGACCATGGAGTAGGCCATGAATGCCATGTGGATGATGAAGAGGCAGAGCATGGTGAACTGAAAAGATTTTGTATTTTTACAGTATGAAAAAAAAATTTTAAATTATAATACCCTACTCTACCCTACCCTACCCTACCCTACCCTACCCTACCCTACCCTACCCTACCCTACCTCATCTTATCTTTGACTGACGTCTTCCATACCCTACCCTACCCTACCCTACCCTACCCTACCCTACCCTACCCTACCTTACCCTACCTTTGACTGACGTCTTCCATACCCTTGTCGTACTTTTGCACAACTCTACCGTAACCTACCCTAAGCAACCTACTATGCCCTACCCTACCCTAAAGTATCCTACTCAACACCACCCTAACCTCTATTTAACAACTTTTCTCTACTCTACTTCATCCTGTTTGTCCTACCGTACCCTACTCTTCTTCACAGTACCCTATCTTATAAATCTACGATGAAACCCTCTATCATACAATAACACAGGCAAAAACTAAAAACCACGTAAAATTTAAAATTGTTAGCCAAAAGTTTTAAAAAAATTATAAAGGCTCACCCCATCAACATCGTCAACTTCGAATGGGCACCATTTCTGGACTTTTGTATCCTTCAATACCTTCAGCTCTTCTTTTTCCTTTTGCGGATCAACACTCACCACAACCGCACCCTTCGCCATGCTTTCTCCAACTGAGAATTTAAAAAGTTAAAAAACGTTTTTTTTTCAAAAAAAAATTTTAAAAATTAAAATTTTTTTTTAAAATTTTTTAGGTATTTTTCTTTGATTTACTAGTAGAATAATTTTAAATTAACTTACATTTTTAAATTTGTAAGCGTAGCTTGACTGGAAAGTCAAAAAAAGTGCTTGAAACACAATGCCAACTTTGCCAAATCGGCGGGAAACCAAAATAATTCAAATTTAAAACTCAAAAGCGCGGGCTAAAACTTTTTATTGGTACTATTGGTGGTAAAAAGAACTCATATAAAAATTTTGAGCGGGGGGGGATGGAAAAGCAACCCCCCCCCAAGAAATTTTTTAAATTTTTGATTGTGGTCCTCCCTGTGGATTTTTGGAAAAAATTTTTTGCACAGAATTGTCACAAGCTACCTGTGCCGATTTTTTTGACCCCCGCCCCCAGACCAAAAGTCCCCGACCGGCCCTGGGCACTTTCCTTGTTAGTAAATATGATAGCCAGTACAATAATGCGCGTATTTTAAACTATTTTCACAAATAACCACCTTCATTAAACACAAAATTTATTTCCATCAAATCTACAACTATATCAACATATACAATGTATTTTCGTCTGTATTTCCTCTACAACAACATTATACAACCATCAATTCCAACCTCAATCTTCATCCATATCTCACCTTCCAAATAGATTCACAACCATGTCTCTAACGCTCCTTATTATACCACAAATCGCTTGACTGTAGCACTGATCCGTTGGATAGACAGTGGGCCGAAGTTGGATTAAGAACCATACTGTAACGCAAGCAAAAGGAACAGAGATCAAACTGCCTGGAACTAATAATTTGATCCATCTTGAATTGTTCATACCACGTTTGATTTCAAAAATGTGAGCGATAAATAAAACTGTCATTGCCTCTGCCACGCCCAATGCTAGAGTGCCAAAAAATAGTCCACCTGGTCCATACATCAATGGGGAAAAGTGGTCTGGACTGAAATTTTAAAATTTAAAAATAGTTATAAAAATTTAAGCTTACCCTACCCTGCCTTACAGTACCCTATCTATCTTAGCTTACAGTATCACATCCTACCGTATGCTAAACTACAGTACCTCGTCATAACATCTTATCCAAGCTTACCCGACCTGCAGTACCATGAGCTGAATCCTATGTCACCAAACAGTGCCCTGTTATGTCCTAGCGTACCATAAACTACAGTATCTTGTTCTACAATATCTTACCCTAGTTAACCTTGATTTGAAATACCTTGTCTAAAGTACGTTACCTTACAGCACCTTACACTACAGTACCCTACCCTACAATACATTATTCTACAGTACCTTATTCTAAAGTACCTTACCCTACAGTATCTTACACTACAGTACCCTCTCTTGCAGTATTTTGCCTACAGTACTCTATCCCACCGTGCCCTATCCTAGAGTATCGAATTCTACAGTACCCTAAGCTGAAATACCCACCTTGACGTACCTAAACTACAGTACTCTGCCTTACAAGATTTTACCCTATAGTACTATACCCTATCGTACCCTACACAGTGCCTTAATTTACAGTTCCCTATCTTAAAATAAAATAGCGTACCCAACAGTACACCTTTAGACCAAATTTTAAACTACAATAACATATGGTACTCTATAATACCTCACTCTATACTGCGCTACACAACCCTATCTTACCTTTCCTTATACCCTCAATAACCCTAATATTAATCAAAATCACCAAAAACCTACAAGTATCCAATGGAAAAATTCTGGTACATCACGACAATATCGCTAAAACTGCACAAACTCAGTAAATACAAGACCATCACATTGAGAACCATTGACAATTTGCTTTTACAACTCTTGATGTAGTAATATAATCCAGCAAAACCAAGAACTGGGATCAGTAGAGCATACAGTGATGGGCAGATGTAAGTTGACGTAAATACTCCATAACAGACGTAGGTCATGAACGTTGCGTATACTATAAACTAGAAAAATATTTTATAGAAATTTAGGTAACAAAAATTAAATTTAAATATCACTATTGGTTAAAAATAATACTTTAGGCAAAAAAATAACCTAAAAACCACGAAATAAAACTTAGTATAACATAACTTACCCTTTCCCGATTTACTTTAATATAATCCTTCATCCTATCAACCAATTTAAGTTCAGAAACCGCATCCAATTCAAAAAGAGTATCATTGTCAAACACAACCGGACCAACCTTCATTTAGCAACGTAAAACAGAAAAATGAACAAAAAAAGTTTTAAAAATGTAAAAAAATAAAACAAAAAAAACCAATACAACGAAACCAACATAAGCAACAAACCCAACGAAATAGTACTAAAGTACTATAGTTTAGTAACAAGTGTTCTTTTTTCTTGTTATTTACAAATGATTTAATAGCGCAGTGGCTGCGACCAGGGCCGGGCGGGGACTTTTGGTCGGGGGGCAGGGGTCCGAAAAATCGGCACAGGTGGGAAATTTTTTTAAAAATTTCTTTCTGGGGGGGGTACCACCCGTCCTCCCCCCCCTCGCGCCCGGCCCTGGCTGCGACGCCGCTCTCTATATGATCGAACGCCGGAAGTCTTACGGATCACATCACCATAATACCGAGTAGGGTAACCAACGGTAGAACGAAGGTGGTAGGTTTCTCAGGTTCGTTGGTCTTTATGTAAGACATTGAAAACTATCCATATAATAGGCAGAAACAACATGGAAGAATTAAAGATTTTATTATACAACATTAAACAAAAATATTTATTTCTGATCAATCACAAAAATATATAAAATTCATTCATTCATTAATCACACACTGCACAACGTCATTCCTCTAGTGCCATTCCTATTGTTAATTCCCCATATACTCGTACACCATAGCAGCAACTTTTCTTCCAAACAAAGTCAGCAATTGAGCGTCACACATGGAAAGCTTACGAGTATTGACATTTCTGTCAATCATAATCACGGTAAACTCTACTATGCCTACATATATAAGAATGATGACGAGAGGTGTAAGAAGAGAAACGCCACGACCGTTGTCACTGAGAATATTGACCACGAGTGGAATTATGGTTACAAAGGCAAGCACATTAATTAAGAAAGAGAGAGTTCTCACGACCGCCAAAGAACATCCCGAGGTTCTGAAAGTAACAGTTTCACTTTCTATTCTACGAGTGTTCCCTGGTGGGGAGAACGTACTGTATATCAAAACATGACTTACTCTGCGCCGGTGAATGCTACATCTACTGGTATTTGTCTAAATCCTTCAAAGAAGGTGCAAATGGTGAGCAAAAAGACAACCATTAAGTTATAAATCAACGCTGCCTTGCCTCCATGCGACCAAGCGTAGAAAATGACACCGAGTAGGGTAAGCAACGGTAGAACGAAGGCGGTAGCAGATAGGCAGCAGTATGCAGAGAATATGAGCTGGCACAAGATCAATAACAAAAAGCAGGTAATTGTCAACTAAAAATTAAATTTATATCATTTTTTAAAGATGTGATAACTTAAAGACGGCAACAAATAAAGAGAAAAGGTTTTTTTAAGCATTGAAACCAACTTACTTCATGAATAATATTCTGAATCTTACAAATTTCCCAAACTCCAGCACCTTCCTTTTGTTTCTTTCTAATATCCTTCAAAAGCCCTTTTAGCGATATAGACTCTTCTGAAGCAGTATCTTCAACAACAACCGCACTGTCCATCATCGTCAATTGTTTAAAATAAAAAAAAATTTTTTTTTAAACCAATTTTTTTCAAAAATTAAATGGCAAGCGAACGCTCTCAAATTGCAGTTGTTCGCGCGCTTAAACTGGTGTTAGTGAGCATCGGCATTTGCAGTGTTTTTCCGGGACCGGCCCGAAGCGTTTTTTAGTGGTCCTGCCCAGGGCCGGGCGCTGGGGGGGGGGGGGGGGAGAGGAACTCCCCCCCCTAGACCAAAAGACCCCGCCCGCTTCTGGTTTTGTTCAGCATTTCTTGGCCTCGGTCTAAACATCAAATGAATCTTACGGCTTTTATAATGCGACCTGTATAGGATGGAAGAGCATAAAGAGCTACCAAGAAAACTATCTATAAAATTGTTAATCTAGGATAGCGAGGTGTTAGCGGTTAAAAAATTTAGACCATCTCTTTGCTTTTGAGCGTGACAAATGGATTGGGGAATTCCAGTGTCTGTAGAGTTAAAAGGCTAGTTTCCTCGAAAAAGTTTGTAGAAAAATGTTTATGATCAATCACAGAAGTATATAAAATATATTCGTTCTTTTTTTACATAATGCACAACGATCCTTCTTTTAGTACCATTCTTATTGTTGATTTCCCATATGCTTGTACACCATATCAGTAACCGTTTTTCCAAACAATGTCAGCAGTTGAGCGTCACACAAGGGAAGCTTACGAGTATCCACGTTTATTGAAAGCATGACCACGGCGAACAGGAACACTCCTGTGCATACAAGAAAGATGACTAGAAGTGTTGAAAGCGGAACGCCACGCTTGTTATTGCTGAGAATGTTGACTACAAGTGTAACGGTGGTTATTAAGGCGAGTAAACTGATTAATAAAGAGATATTTCCACCGGCCATTGTAACACATTCCGAGAGTCTGAAAAACACAAATTTATTTTTACCCTACCCTACCCTACCCTACCCTACCCTACCCTACCCTACCCTACCTTACCCTACCCTACCCTACCCTACCCTACCCTACCCTACCTTTGCTTTAAAAACATTTATTTATTAACCTACAGTACGCCAAAATATGACTTACGTTGAGCAGTAGTCTTTTCTAGATGCTATGCTAATTGCTTCAAATGTGGTACAAACGTTGAGCAAAAAAACCACCAACAAATTATAAATCAAGGCTGCCTTGCCTACAGTAAAAGCGTAAAAAAGAACACCGAGTAGGGTAAGCAACGGTAGAACGAAGGTGGTAGCAGACAGGCAGTAGAATACTGACGAGAATATAGTCTGGCACAAGACCAATAGCAACAAGAAGATAATCGTCAACTAAAATTTAATTTACATTGTTTTTGGATTATGTGACGATTTCAAAATGAAAAAAAAATAAAAAAAAAGATTTTTTTAAATATTAAAATCAGTACCGGGCGAGAACTTTTCGTCTGGGGGCGGAGGTCGACAAAATCGGTTACCTGTGCCGATTCTTTGAAAAAATTTTTTTCCGAAAATCCACAGGGGGGGGACCACGTTCAACTTTTTTCGAAAATTTTTTTTTGGGAGGGGGGGGTTTCCCCTCTCCCCCCACCCAGCGCCCGGCCCTCATTGAAACCAACTTACCTCATGAATGATATTCTGAACCTCCAAAATCTCCCAAATTCCAGTATATTCCTTTTGTTTCTTTCGCGATTTCGACCCTTCTGAAGCTGTCACTTCAACAACAACCGCACTGTCCGCCATCTTCGACCGTTTGAAAGAAAATAAAAAAAATTAAATATTAAAAAAAAAAGGTTTTTGAGTTTGAGGTTTGTTGGTTTTGTTGATTACATAGGTTTCTAAGGTTCTTTTGAAAAAAATTGTCATTTTGTTTTTATTTTCATTTCAAACTATCGAAGATGACGGACAGTGCGGTCGTTGTTGAAGTTACTGCTTCAGAAGAGTCCATTTCGTTAAGGGAGCTTTTGAAGCTTATTAGGCAGATACAAAAGGAAGAAGGTGTTGGAGTTTGGGAAATTTTGAGATTCAGAATATTATTCATGAGGTAAGTTGGTTTTAATACTTAAAAAACGCCATTTAGCTTTATTTTTTGTTATTTTTATGTTATCACATCTTTAGAAAATGATATAAATTTAATTTTTAGTTGACAATTACCTGCTTGTTGCTATTGGTCTTGTGCCAGATCATATTCTCTGCATACTGCTGCCTATCTGCTACCGCCTTCGTTCTACCGTTGCTTACCCTACTCGGTGTCATTTTCTACGCTTGGTCACATGGAAGCAAGGCAGCGTTGATTTATAACTTAATGGTTGTTTTTGTGCTCAACGTTTGTACCTACTTTGAAGGTCTTAGACCTATATTGCTAAGTGGAACCGGCGCATTGTAAGTCATGCTTTGATTAACAGTAGGTTCAGATAATAAATAGCTGTTTTTGAAAAAAGCAAACAGCTTTGTATTTAGAGAAAAGCTACTGCGTAATATAAGTCATGTGTTAGTCTACTGTAGTGCTCTCGGAGAGGGGGAGGGGGGGGGGTTCCTTTTGTCATTTCCTTACTGCACCCCCCCCACCCGAACACACTCGTAGAATAGAAAGTAAAATTGTTACTTTCAGAACCCCGGAACGTTCTCTGGTGGTTGTTGGAGCTCTCTCTTTCCTAATCACTGTACTTGCCTTTGTAACCATGGTTCCAATCGTGGTCAATGTTCTCAGTGGCAAAGGTCGTGGCGTTTCTATTTTTACACCCGTATTCATTTATTTTATATATGCAGGTGTAGTAGGGTTTACCGGGAGCATGATTCCAAGGTTTGTCAATACTGATAAGCTTTCCATGTGTGATGCTCAGTTATTAACTTTGTTTGGAAGAAAAGTTGCTACTATGGTGCACAAGTATATGGGGAATCAACAATAGGAATGGTACTGAAGGAATGACGTTGTGCATTGTGTGATAAGTGGATGATTGTATTTTACGTACTTTGATGATTGATCAAAAATAAATTTTATTACTTAAAGTTGAATAATCAAATCCTTTTTTTCATTTTTCATGTGCTCTATGCTTATTACGTGAACAGTTTTCAATGTATCAGTCTTTCCCGAAATGTGACAAAACTGTTGAAGGAATCGCTCTCGCGCCGAGAATTGAGGAAAATTGGGCGACAAACGACAAAGTCTGCGACAGTCGCTTGCACCCTGCGACATTCCAATGAAATTCGCAATGTCGCAGGTGCAAAGCTCTTCTACAAACTTTTGCGTCGCGATTCAAATGGCGATGCGACAGCGTATCGCGGTTGTCGTAACGCTCAAGTCACCACTGTGTTCAATGGAAGGTTTGCGACACGTTTTTTCGACTGTTGCAAGTCACTGAACCCTGCGACAACCGACCGGTGCGACACTGAAAGGATTGCACTGTGCAGTCTTTCCTAACATCGCTGGCAGTATCGGGTGATCGCGCGGGGAATTTGCACTGTGCAGCGGAATGAAAAGGGAGCGATTTGTTCGGAGACTGCACCGTGCAGCTGTAACATTCTGTAGTGGAAAAACTGATATTAAAAACCAAAGAACTTGAGAAACCTATTGAACCAACAAAAGCAACAAACCTCAAACCCAAAAACCATTTTTATAAAATTTTTAATTTTTTTTTTATTTTTATTTCATACGATCGAAGATGACGGACAGTGCGGTTGTTGTTGAAGTTACTGCTCCAGATAATCCAAACTCGCCAAAGAAACAAAACGAAGATACAATTTGGGCGGATTTCGGGCTTGAGGATAGTATTCATGAGGTAAGTGGGTTTCAATACTTAAAAAAACTTTCTATTTGTTGTTATTTTCATATTGTCACATTTTTCGAAAACAATATAATTTAATTTTTAGCTGACAATTATCTTCTTAGTGTTATTGTTCTTTTGCCATATCATGTTCTCGTCAGAATTCTACTGCGTATCTGCTACCACCTTCATTCTACCATTGCTTATCTTACTCGGTATTATTTTCTACGCTTGGTCCAATGGAGGCAAGGCAGCGTTGATTTATAACTTGTTGGTGGTTTTTTTTGATCAATGTGTGTACCTTCTACGAAGCAGATAACCTTGTAAATAGAACTGAATTCTGTAGAAAGTAAGTTATGCTTTGGTTTACTTGGGGCTTATATTGTAAATAGCTGCTTTTAAATCACTGTAGATTAGTTAATTAAGGTGAATTATAATTAAATAAGGTGAAGTAGAGTATAGAAAGCATAGTAACGTAAATTAGGATAGTCCTTTTACATATTGCATATACCGGCGCAAGATAAGTCATGATTTGATGTATATACAGTAGGGGGAGGGGATTCTTTTTGTCATTCTCCCCCTCCCCCTCCCACCCAAGAACACTAGTACAATAGAAAGTGAAATTGTTAATTTCAGAACCTCGGGCTGCTTTCTGGCGACTGTTGGAACTCTCTCTTCACTAATCACTGTACTTGCCTATGTAACCATAATCTCACTTGTGGTCAATATTCTCAGCGACAATGGTCGTGGCGTTTCTCCTTGTAGACTACTGACCATCCTTTTCATATATGCAAGTGTAGCTATGTTTACCGCGACTCCGATTTCCAGATATGTCGATTCTCGTAAACTTTCCTTGTGTGACGCTCAATTTCTGGCATTGTTTGGAAGAATGGTTGCTGCTGTGGTGTACTAGTATCTGGGGAATCAACGATAAGAATGGCACTGAAGGAATGACGTTGAGGATTGTGTGCTAAATGAATGAATATATTTTATATACTTTAGTGATTGATCAGAAATAAATATTTTTGTTTAATGTTGTATAATCGAATTTTTTTTGTTCTTCAATGTTCTTTCTGCCTATTCTACATATGGACAGTTTTCAATGTATCAAAGACCAACGAACCTGAGAAACCTATCCAACCTATCGATAAAACAAAACCCAAACCCAGAAACCATTTTTTTAAATTTTATTTTTTAAAAAATTTTTATTTTATACGGCTGAAGATGACGAACAGTGCGGTCGTTGTTGAAGTTACTGCTTCAGAAGAGTCGAACTCGCCAAAGAAACAAAATGAATATATTGGACTTTGGAAGACTTTGGAGATTGTGAGAAAGAAACAAAAGAGAGATCTTGGAATTTGGGAGAGGTTGGGGATTAAGGATATGATTCATGTGGTAAGTTAGTTTGAATACAGTAAAAGCTTTTTTCTTTATTTGTTGCCAGGGCCGGGCGGGGATTTTTGGTCTGCAGGCGGAGGTCAAAAAAATCGGCCCAAAAGCTACCTGTGCCGACATTTTGAATAAAATTTTTTTCAAAAAGTCACAGGGTACCACGTTCAACTTTTCGAAAATTTTTTTTTGGGGGGGTCTCCCAGCGCCCGGCCTTGTTTGGCGCCATTTTTAATTTATCGCCTTTTTCAAAATCGATATAACTTCATTTTTAGTCGACAGAAATCTGCTTGTTGTTATTGGGTTTGTGCCAGTTCTTATTCTCTGCATACTGCTGCCTATCTGCTACCGCCTTCGTTCTACCGTTGCTTACCCTACTCGGTGTTATTTTCTACGCTTGGTCACATGGAAGCAAGACAGCGTTGATTTATAACTTGTTGGTCGTTTTTTTGCTCAACCTGGGTAATGTGTTTGAGGCAGATAGAGTTATGGATAGAGCAAACACCGGGTAAGTTTTACAGGGTGTCCCAAGAAAAACGAAAAAAACTAAAACGTTATATTTTAATTGAGAAAAATGCTAAAAATGCCAAACTTGGCACTGTCAAAGATTGGCACATGCGGTTTTTTATCCTAAAATTTCAGATTTTTTAAGTGCATAATAAGGGCATTATTATTTTTGAAAGGTGGTCATTTTCCCTGCAATTACACATGTTTTCAGTTGGAAATGCTTTTTTTGGTATAAATTTTTAAGTTTTTGACAAATTTTTGGTTGAAAATGACATTTTTGACTAAGTTTTTGATTTTCAATCGTCGGCGGGTGTCGGCGGAGACCCGGCGGACTCATAAAATTGTCAATATGCAAAAAAAGTTAAATTAAAGAAGATATAAAGTTTAAAAATTTCCAGAAAGTTGTATAAATACGTACGTTCAAAAATTATGAAAAAAAATTTCTTTAACGTTTAAACAGCAAAAATATCACGTTTTTGATTTTTTGTTGTTAAACGAAGTAAAAGAGCAAATACGTTAAAATTGCGAAGTTATTTGTGCAATTTAAATAATAAACTTAAAAACCGGTTTTCCTTATTCATTTACTTAGGCTTTTATTATTTTCTGTGTTTCAACAACTTTGAATCTCAGTTTTGCATTAGTCAACATAGCCTTGATAATTCTAAAACTAATACTTTTTGTTTCATATCTTTACGTTATGTTTGAAGCGAGTTATAACCTCCTCCGACAATTTTAAGCGTCCGCCGGGTCTCCGCCGACACTCCGCCGACAATTGAAAATCAAAAACATAGTCAAAAATGTCATTTTCAACCAAAAATTTGTCAAAAACAGAAATTTTTAACAAAAAAAGCATTTCCAACTGAAAACATGTGTAATTGCAGGGAAAATGACCACCTTTCAAAAATAATAATGCCCTTATTATGCACTTAAAAAATCTGAAATTTTAGGATAAAAAACCGCATGTGCCAATCTTTGACAGTGCCAAGTTTGGCATTTTTTGCATTTTTATCAATAAAAAAATAACGTTTTAGTTTTTTTCGTTTTTCTTGGGACACCCTGTAAAATTGTCTGTACCTACAATACTTGCGGACACCGACAAGACTTCTGTTGTCTGCATGTGTCATTCTTTATGTTTTTTTGCGGACTTGTATTTAAAGAAAGTGACTGCGTATTGTAAGTCACGTTTTGGTATACTGTAGGGGGGTTCGTTTTGTCATCCCCCCCCTCCGCTCGAGAACACTAGCAGAGTGGAATTGTTAATTTCAGGACTTCGGAATACTCTCCGGCGGTCGGTTAGACTCTTTTTTACTTTAATGAATGCACCTATCTTATCAACCATAATATTACTTGTGGTTATTTTTCTCAGTGACAGCGGTCTTGACGTTTCCTTTTTCAAAGTTTTTGTCATCCTTGTTGTATATGAAGGAGTATTAATATTTATCGACATCATGATTAGAAAAAGTGTCAATATTGATAAGTTTTCCTTGTGTGACGCGCAATTTCTGCCTGTGATTGGACGAGAAGTTGCTGCTATGGTGCGCAAGTATACGGGGAATCAACAATAGGAATGGCACTAAAGGAATGACGTTGTGGATTGTGTGATTAATGAATGAATGGATTTTATATATTTTGGTGATTTATCAGAAATAAATATGTTTATTTAAATTAGTTAGGATAATTTTTTAATTTCTTTAGTGTGCTATCTGCCTTTTATGTGAACGGTTTTTTTATTTTAATTATTTGGCATATATACAATAGATAGTCATAGTTCTTTGAAAAACAAAAAAACTTACAGTCAGGGGCGTCACTAGGGGGTGGGTGGAGGTGGGTGGAACCAGCTTCTCCAATCCGAAAATTTTTTTTTTGAAAAATTGGTTTACAGGTAGCTAGCTACCTGTGGATCAAAAAAAATTTTGGTTTCCATCTGTAGCGACGCCCCTGCTTACACTTGAAAAAAGTAGAGATAAGGCTGGACTTAAGGGTATAGCTAGGACTCCATTTAGCTATAGGAATTGAAAATGATGAGTCAAAACAGGTCTATAGAAAACCTAAGGCACTGGTAACGCGAAACTAAGGCAAAGATAATGCTAGGGCTACAGCAACCGCAATAACAGGCTAAAACACTGCTTGGATTTGGCTAAAATTATGTGTAGTTCAAGCCAGGATGAATTTCAGAACCATAACTGGGCTCTCAGCTACGACTCTCAGCTAGGGCTCTGGGCTAAGGCTCTAAGCTGGGGCTCTGGGCTGGGGCTGTGAGCTAGGGCTCTGGGCTAAGGCTATAAGCTGGGGCTCTGGGCTGGGGCTCTGGGCTAGGGCTCTAGACTAAAGCTCTGAGCTAGGGCTCTGGGCTAAGGCTCTAAGCTGGGGCTCGGGGCTAGGGCTTTGGGGCTAGGGATCTGGGGCTAGAGCTCTAGGGTTAGGGCTTTGGGGCTAGGGATTTGGACTAGGGCTTTGTGCTAGAGCTCTAAGCTAAGACTCTGAGCTAGGAACCTGGGCGAGGGTTCTAAACCGGGCTTTGGGATAAGACTTTGGGCTAAGACTATTTTACCCTCAAGCCTCTTAGTTCTAATTATAACCCTAAGCTCTTGTCCATTCCTTTCTTTATTCAAAAAATCAAAGTCGGTTGGAACAAATGTGCTGTGAACGTTGTTCGGCCCTCCAGAAAAGATCATTCATTTTAATTGGACGCGTTTTATGTTTTGTCTGTTTGTTTGTGGATAGGTTTACGATTTTCGGGCCTTCGATTTTCGGCTTGATCTCCCCCAATCTTATGGCCATGCAATTTTTGGCTGTGTTATGGGCTAATACTGCATTTTTATGGGGTTTGCACTGGTTAAGTTGTTAAAAAGTGCTCTTGTTTTTAAGAGTCGTTTTTTTGCAAGAGTTACTACTTGTTTTAGGGCTGTTTAGGCTTTAGGTTTACACTGTCTTGTAAGTTGGAAAAGGGGACAAGTATTTTTAATACTGTTTCAACATAAGACACATTTTAGTTGAGTTAGGAACTATTTGTTTTCGTACGGTTTAGGCTTTAGGCTTAAACGTTTTTTTTATTTTAGAATGAGAGGAGTAAATGAAGCTTAAATTAGATGGCAAAGAAGGAGAGTGAATAGACCAAAATAAATCTAAGGTACATAAAAAATAGACATAAAGAACAAGCCGGGCCCTGATTTTTAAGCCTGGCCTGACTTAAATTTAGGTCAGGCCCGGCTTGACCGAAACTTGAGTCAGCTCGGGCCCGGAACGTTCCTCATGTGTAATAAAAAAGTAAAGAAAATGTAAAAAGAAGCAGGTAAGATAAAGTAGGGTATGTTAAAGTAAGGTAAGTTAAAATAAGGTAGTATATAGTAGGCTAGGGTAGGGTAGGGTAGGGTAAAGCCTAAAAATACTCTTCTCAATTAATCCCTGGACTGTTTTATTTCTCGAGTTTCAAGTCTCGACATTCGATAAATTTTGTTTGTTTGAAATTCGAACTTTTGCAAATTGCACTAAAAAAAGACTGTGTACTCTAATGAGAAAAAACGAGACTTTTGTCCGACTTGTCAAAATCGCAGTCGATTTTCGTTTCAAATTGATATGTGTCAAAACGCAACGTTTTTTGATTTTTAAACCGTTTACTTGATCTATCAGCTGTATAGTTGACCGGTACGGCAGGTTAACCTCAAATTTTCATTTTGAGCAATGAAAATAAAAAAAATTTATCGACCGGTCAACCAAAAAAAATTTTTTTTGTGATTAGTTAATTATCAAAACAATATTTTTTCAACTAATCAATTTTTAAAAAAAAAATTTTTCAACCGGTCGATTTTCAAAAATATTTGACTAGTCGACTTTCACAAGAAATATTCTTTCTACCAGTTGATATTACAAAAAAATTTTTTCTGACCGTTTAATTTTTAAAAAAAAAGATACAATCGATTTTCAAATTTTTTTTGGTCAATTACCAAAAATTTTTTTTGGTTAGTAAAAATTCAAAAAAAATCTTTTTTGACTGGTCAATTTTATACAAAAAATATATTTTCTGACTGTTTTTACAAAAAAAAATTATCGACCGGTCGATAAAAGTAAAACTTCAAAATGTTTTTTTTATGTAATGCCCATGCTTTGCACTCTTCTTTCCTATAATAACAGACGTTTTTTTTTGGTTGTACCAAAAAACCTTGCCTTTTCGTTCTTATTGTCGGTCGATTTCCGGTACGTCGTTCATACGCAATTTTCATTTCCTCAAACAGTTTTTGGAAATGTTTAGTGTTGCAAGCCCAAATTTTTATGCTTTTTTACGTTTGATAAAACTATAAATAACTTTTGAATCACGAGTTTAAAGCACAGTGAACCCCCAATATAAGAAATGGCAAGGGGATTGAAAAATCGTTTGCTGTTGCGGGATTGTGTTATATCCAGAGTCCCTTTAGTCAAAAATCAGTGTAAAAATTTTTTCTGGAAAATTTAAAAAATTCGGTATAAAAGAGTTCTGTTGTAAAAGGATCATATTAGCTAGGTTTGGCTGTACGGTAAACAATTTCTTTATAAAATGATCTTTATGTTCCATTAGCGTTAAGCTTTATCTCAAGTTGGCTAAAAATCAAAGTTAAGGGTAGACTGAACAGGCTTAAGCTTAGCCTGAATAGTTAGTTTTATCTTTGTGTTTAACTTAAGCCTGAGACTAAGAAACCTAAGTCCAAGTTTAAGCCTAAGGGTAATTTTAAGCTTAAGTTTAAGACAAAGCTCGTGCCTAATCTTAAGGTTAAGTCTAAACCGAAAGTCAAGTCAAAGCTTAAAATTATTTTTAACCTTAAGCTTAAGCCTAAGTTTAAATTAAAGCCTAACTTCAAGTTTTAGAAAGTTTAAGCCTAAGCTTTAATCTTAGGTTAAGTCCAACCTGAGAGTAACTTTAAATTAAATCCCCTTTAAGCGAAAGCCTCAGTTGAAGTTTAAATAAAAGCGAAAGTTTAAACCTAAGCCCAAATTTATGCGTTATCCAAACCTTAACATAAACGTAAGTCTAGCTTTAAACCAAAGTCTAAGCCTAATCTTTAACTAAAGTCTAAACTTAAACCTAAGCCCTACTTTTACTTCTAGCTTGACTACACCTTGAAAAAACTTTTTTGCACAATATTCTTACAACTTCCTTCAAATGACATCAACACCGTTTTGCTCTTTTAGCCAAACCGAATATGCGCATAATAAAGAAACAACTTCATCGTTTCTTCGCTTCGTCTTCCTAAGCTTCTGAGCCGAAAAATAAAGATGTAAAGAGGAAAAAATAAATATATTCAAACAACTCTGAACCTTTTTTCGTGCTGAGTACGTTTGGATAAAAAACATACGGGAATGCAAAATCCCCAGACTTTTGAAGTTTTTGGCCAATTTTAAGGCTACGGATTGGGACCGTCAGAAAAAAGTTATGGGTTTAAAAAAAAGTTTGGGGGAACACTTTTATGGGTCTATTACAAAATAAGTCATAGACTGTCGCGAATTCAGCGTAGCAAGAGTATTGAGACGAAGTGAATTATTTTGTAAGGGCAAGGCGAGTGGTTTAAAAGGGCCCTGGATTCACTCCTCTATGATCGGAAGGAATAATGTCTCCTTTGTAGCTTTAGTCCACGGGGCTTTTGATTGCTAACTTTTTTTCGACTGAAGTATCTCGATATACTGTATGACTTCTCTATTAGCCTTAATAGTCTAGCACAACGTTAGACCAAAACTAGTGTAAGGTTAGAACAGAACTAAAGCAACGATTTGATGCTTGGTTTGGTAAGGGTTAAGGCAAGTCCTTGATTCTAAAGCTAGGGCAGGGCTAGGGGATGACTAGGGTTAAGCTGAGGTAAAACTAACATTTCAATATGACTGGAGCAGGACTAAAACAGGTGCAAAGCTTGGTTAACGTAGGGTTAGAGTGGGGCTGGTGATAATTATCGATAAGGCTAGGGCGGAGTTAGGCTTGAGTAATACGGCAGTAGGCTTAGGCTTTGATAAAGCTATGGTACGGTCAGGCTAAGAAAAAGATACTGTAAGGCTATAGTAATCTAACATAAGGTAGAGGCTAAAATAATCGCCGTTTT